GTTTAAAACAAGAAAGGAAGCTAGCTTCGGCAAGCCGAAGCTTATATACCCTTGCAGTCATTAAATATGTCGAACAAAACGCATAAAGGCTAGACAACATCGAATCTAAGACGATTTTTCTATTCATTTTCCATATTTTTGACTATAGATCATATGGGAGCTATACGATATAGGTGTCCGATTTTGATCAAATTTAATTCGTAATTCAAGAGTCGTAAGAAAACTCTATATTCCAAAAATCATACTTGTCTGATGAAAAAGAACGATATTATAATTTTATTTCCATTATTTCTATATAGATTTTTCGATCTTTCCTATGGCAGCTATAAGATATAGATGACCGATTTTTATGAAACTTTTTTCCAATATAAACGTTGTTAAAAAACTTGATATTCAAAAAATCATGCTCGTGGGATAAAAAACAACGATGTTATCAATTTATTTCCATTAATTCTATATATAATTTTCGATCTCTCCTATGGCAGCTATATGATAGAGTTATCCGATTTTGATAAAATTTAATCCGAAATTCAATAACAGTTAGAAAACGCCATCTTGAAGAATTCAAGTCGATCTGATCAAAAACAACGGCGTGAGAATTTTTTATTTCATTCTCTCATATGGGAGCTATCCGATATAGTCGTCCGATCCGGCTCGTTCCGACTTATATACTGCGTGCAATAACTACACACCTTTTGGGAAAGTTTCATCAAGATAGCTTCAAAACTGAGAGACTAGTTTGCGCGGAAACGGACAGACGGACAGACGGACAGACGGACAGACGGACAGACGTACATGCATATTTGGATTCTGATCGTGATGCTGATCAAGAATATATATACTTTATGGGGTCTGAGGTGTCTCCTTCACTGCGTTGCAAACTTCTGACTGAAATTATAATACCCTTTTGCTCTGCAAGGGTATAATTAGAAGCTATGTATATAGTCATTAATTAGGCTTGTTTTCTTGTGAAGTATAAAAATAGTTTTTTTGATTTCCATTCTGATTACGCACAATTCGTAATTGAATCCTATCAGTCGATATGTGTCGGCAATCAATACATTAGGTACATTCAATTGGGGAAAATTAACTACCCATAGCGCAGCCAACTCAAGAAGCCATTTTAGTTAGCCAAAATGGTCGAGTGGATCGGTTGGTTATTGAAGTTAGTCTATTTATATGGACACCTAATCGGGGTTAGAAACTTCGAGTTCGACTGGCGGACAGGACGTGTCTACAAATCCATAAGAAGCACGTTCTATGCCAGTTGTATCCACGCCATAATATTAATTAGCTTAGCTATGATGACATTTAGGCATCTTAATATATGGATGATCTTCGGCAAGTCAAATATGTTGCTAAAATATGTTCTCGTCATTGTTTTCGGACTGAGGATATTAGCAGGTTGGATTATTTGCTTATGTCGATTTGAATCCTGAAATCCAGAGACTCAAGAAGTAGTAGTAGTACATCTGTTTTGTTTCAGGGCTCTCTACAGTTCTCATCAGATGGCCCCAGAGAACCCAGATGATGCAGTTCGCCAGAACAGTTCTTCGTCTGTTTCTGCAAAGACCGCAGGTGATGCAGATGTCCCGCTGGGGAGTTCTGTTTAAGATAATCATTTCATCTGTCACTGACTTCTTGCAAGTGATTTCCATCTGGATCGCATGGGATCGTAGGAGATCCGATCAAACCCTGGGGATATTTCTACAGTACTGGATGTCAGCAATTGTGAATTTGGCCATAACGGAACACTATCTGGCAATCCTTTTCGTTAGGGCTTACTATAACCTTCTCAACCAGGAGCTACGACAGGTGATGGAAGAGTGCAAGAAGTTGAGTAACCTTCCCCAGCGAAGGGGTGCTTTCATGACCAGATGTTGCGATCTGGCCGATCAGTTGGACGACATTGCTCAGCTTCAAAGTGAGCTGATCTCAATGGTGACCCAGTTGGGTGAGGCCCTCGGCATTCAGGGGCTAATGGTTTATGGGGGATACTACATATTCTCAATAGCCACTGTTTACCTTTCGTACAGTATCTTTAAAACTGGATATGATAATTTGGATATGACCGTGACGTCAATGATTTTGACCTTCATTTGGTGCAACTTTTACTACCTTGACGCCTTGCTCAATCTGTTTATCACCCTTAATCTGCTTGACGACCACAAGGATATAAAACGTCTATTGGGAGAGCGAACCGTATTTGCCTCTCGTTTGGATATTCGTCTGGAGGAATCTGTAAGATACCTTAAGCCACAAACTTAAAATTAACTCAGTATATTACTATTTTTAAAAACAGTTTGACAGAATGCAGCTGCAGTTGATACAAAACCCTCTAAAAACCGACATACTCAAAACATTTTCCATCACTCGCGAGTCTTCAATGGCCATGTTGGGATCAGTAATAATGCACTCTATAATACTTATTCAATTTGACTTGGAATTCTTTTAAGTTGTATTTACTTTTTTTATTTGCTTCGAAGAAGAAACTAATGTTATTAATGATCTTACATAGTCATCAGCCATTTTTTTACACATACTGATACACGCAATATATTTGTGCAACCTCGAAGATATATATATCTAATCAAGAAACCAGTAAATAAAGTCCTTTTGAATCTGATGTGAAAAATTCTGCCATATTTCAATGTCAGTCCTCCTAATTTATTTTACTATTCGCTTCGCTTAGGAACAGTAACAAAGTCTCTTTTAGTTCTACAAAATGGTCGATTCCGTTCATTTGCTGCTGAGGGCAGTTATCCCGCTCGTGGCTTATTTCAAAGATTTTAACCAGCTTTGCTACTGACTTTTCACGATTCTTGGTTGGAGTCATGGTTGTATTAGGTGGCAATAGCAGCGGGCTAACTATGAATTTCGGGGTACTGTTATCACCAGATGCTGCAACCTTTCGGATCAGTTGGAGGATATTGCTAGAATTGGTGAATTGCTTGGAATACAGAATGTAGTGCTCTTATCCGTATCCTTCATATCATACGCAGTCTCCATATATTTTATCTACTTTGATTTCACATATGTACGATGGACTCTGAGTGTAATAGTAAAATGTACAGCTCTTGGACATATTGCTACATTTGTATATTACTTGGATATCTCTTTGAATCTGTTTATTACTTTTTCTCTGCTTGATGAGCACAAGGAGATGAAAAATCTGTTGGCTAAACGAACCTTGTTTGCTTCTCAATTGGATCAACTCCTCAAACAATCTGTAAGCTTCAATTATCTTATCTTTTCGGATTAATTAAATGTAATATTTTTTTCAGTTTGAGAGCTTCCAGTTACAGCTGGTACGAAACCCTTTAAAAATTGAAGTCATGGGATTGTTCGACATTCATCATCGCAGCTCAATGTTTACTATGTTTGTCTCTGTTATAATGCATTTAAAATTTCTCCTTCAATATGACTTGGAAAACTTTTAAGAAAATGAAATGTAAAAACTTATTTACTTAATTTCCTACGAGCACAAACACATTAAAAAGTAAAACAAACTTTGAAACCGTTAAATTTTATATAATATTACTACAAATCTTTAACTACAAGGGAAGACAAAAGTCTATTTAAGATTAAAATCTTTTTTCCCCTTTATGGGATATTCGTTGAAAGGAATCTGTGAGATGCTGCATGAATTCTTATCGCATTTCAATGAAATTGATTGGCATAAAGGGTGCAGTGAACATATGCGTAGCTTTTATGTTCTCTGTGGTCGTCATTTACCTCTTCTACTATTATCTCAAATATGGTGAAAGGGTTATTAGTATTGGAATTGAAAGCACTCGTAGCTTTTCCTACTACTTGGATTCCTTTATCAATATGTTTATTACTTTTTTTCTCATTGATAAAAACAAAAAGATGAAAAATCGGTTGGAGTAACGAGCCTTGTTTGCTTCTCGATTGAATGAACGCCTCGAGCAATCTGTAAGCAACAATTATCTAATGCAGTACTTTTAATCAAAATTATATATATTTTTAGTTTGAGTGCCTCCAGTTGCAGCTTTTACAAAATGAAAGTCATGGGAATATTCGAAATAAGTCGCAGTTAAATTTTTACCATGCTGATGCATTCAATACTTCTCATTCAATATGACTTCGAACACTTTTAAGAATACATGATAATTTAAAAAAATGTTGTATATTATTTACACCAAGCCAAAACACATTAAAAAATTTAGCAGAATTGGAGATATTGTTTTAAATATTGTTTACAGAAAATACATTAAAATGGAAATTTTGAAATTTTTTTAAAATCTAACATAAACAAATAAAAAGAACAAGTGTAAAAGCACCAATGCGAATGTTTTCGTCGCCCAGTTCGATCGATAAGAACGCCTTCCTTAATACTTATTCAATTTGGATTTGAATATTTTTGGGTTACATTTAAATTTTAAGATCTTCCTGAATTCAAGGAGTAAATATATTACTAAAAGAAAACCTGCACAAATTACCCAGCCATTGGAGGAATTGAATTACGCTAAAAGACGTCGAATAGATACTTAAATTTGTATACCAACGACCCCATAAGGTATCTTTATTATATATCGGGATGCATTTCAAATGAGCTATATTTATTACACTTTTTCAAATCTGATCGGACACATCCTCAGAATTGGTGCCATATTTCAAAGTCATCCTCTTAATTTAATTAACTATTGACTTCGCTGAGGAACCGTCACAAAGTCGGCTTTAGTTTAACAAAATGGTCGACGGTGTTCGTTTGCTGCTGAGGGCAGTTAACTTTTATAGTCATTTGATCGGCTTAAACAACTTTGTGTTCGACACCAGAACAGGTCGCGTCTTCACAACATGGATTACTACTATCTACCCAATTGGGATCAACGTCGTGATTACTACTGCCTTTATCTTCTGTTGCACTCAATTCGATTTTGTCATTGTCTATAAAAGTGCAAATAAACTACATGCGTTCGTCCTCATCGCTTTAATATTTTTTAGTATAACTGCAGGTATTACCAAGAAAGAAAGCCAGTTTCGGCTAGCCGGAGCTACCCTTGCAGTTGGAACTTAAGTTTATAAGACTATTTGACTAATAAACAAGAAAGGAAGCTAGCTTCGGCAAGCCGAGGCTATTATACCCTTGCAGTTATCAAATATGTCGAACAAAATGCATAAAGGCTAGACAACATCGAAGCTAAGACGATTTTTCTATTCATTTTCCATATTTTTGACTATAGATCATATGGGAGCTATACGATATAGTTGTCCGATTTTGATCAAATTTAATTCGTAATTCAAGAGTCGTAGGAAAACTCTAAATCATACTTGTCTGATGAAAAATAACGATGTTATAATTTTATTTCCATTATTTCTATATAGATTTTTCGATCTTTTCTATGGCAGCTATAAGATATAGTTCTCCGATTTTTATGAAACTTTTTCTCAATATAAGAGTTGTTAAAAAACTTGATTTTCAAAAAATCATGCTCATGGGATAAAAAACAACGATGTTATCAATTTTTTCAATTAATTCTATATATATTTTTTGATCTCTCCTATGGCAGCTATACGATAGAGTTATCCGATTTTGATAAAATTTAATCCGAAATTCAATAGTAGTTAGAAAACGCCATCTGGAAGAATTCAAGTCGATCTGATCAAAAACAACGGCCTGAGAATTTTTTATTTCATTCTCTCGTATTGGAGCTATCCGATAGAGTCGGCCGATCCGGCTCGTTCCGACTTATATACTGTGTATACTGTATAACTACACACCTTTTGGGAAAGTTTCAGCAAGGTAGCTTTAAAACTGAGAGACTAGTTTGCGCGGAAACGGACAGACGGACAGACGTACAGACGTATTCTGATTCTACTCGTGATGCTGATCATGAATATATCGACGCATTATGTCGTATGTCGCTTTTTTTCGAAATTGAGATTTTAATGCAAAATTGTTAGGCACCTAATGTCTCACTACCCTGTGAAATATTATAACTGAAAGCCCTATAGTTCCGATAAAAAATAAGTTTCAATTTTATCGTATGTTACAATGTGCGCGCGAAATTATCGTATGTCCATACAAATTTTTTTCATTTGCATGGAAATACTGCAATCGCACAAAAATACCGAAATACGAAAATAAAGAAAAAGCTTCTCCTGTAAAATTTGATTTTTCAACATACGATACATTCGCGGAAATGCGTCGATATAATCTTTATGGGGTCTGAGGTGTCTCCTTCACTGCGTTGCAAACTTCTGACTGAAATTATAATACCCTTTTGCAAGGGTATAAAAATCTATGGTAGCATTTAGTATTTTGTAATAATATACTAGACTGAAGGGTATACATTAATTTTAAAACTAGACTTATATAATATAAACTAATTTTCAGGGTCACTTACGATGATCAATAGATGGCGACAGCGCAAGCAACTGATGCACCTCACTAGAAAATTTCTTTGTCTTCTGTTGGCTCATCCGCAAGTAAAGGGAATACAACGCTTCTGGCTTTTCTCAAAGATCTTCATCGGCCTGACTTCTGACTTCTCCCGTCTGTTGCTAGCCATGAATATATTGGATCGCGTAAGCAACGATCAAACTATGAAGCTTTTTGTGTTTTTGTGGTCTGTGGCCATAACGAATCTGGCCATAATGCACTATCATCTTTTAGTGCTCTTCGTACAAGCACAGTATCAGCACTTAAATAACAAACTGCGACAAATTATTCAGGAATGTGAGACCCTGAAAAACCTTCCCCAGAGAAGGGGTACTGTTATCACCAGATGCTGCGACCTTTCGGATCAGTTGGAGGATATTGCTAAAACCCAGAGCCGGCTGCAATATGTTTTCACGAGTTTCACTGAATTGCTTGCCATACAGGGCGCAGTGGTCATATGCGCAACCTATATATCCATCGTGATCAACATATACCTTCTCTATTATGATCTCAAATATGGGCAAGGAGCTCTGACTTATACAATTAAATTTACGGCTCTGCCGTGTACTTGTAGATTTTTGGAGTTCTTGGATAGTTTTATAAAGCTGTCCAATACTTTTTCCTTTATTGATGAGCACGAGGAGATGAAAAATATATTGGAGAAAAAAACGTTGTTTGCTTCTCGATTGGATGAACGACTCGAACAATCTGTAAGCTTAAATAATCTAATCTTTTCTCGTAATTTCAAATTTGATATTATATTTTTAGTTTGAAAGCCTGCAATTGCAGCTTATACGAAACCCTTTAAAACTTGAAGTCCTGGGATTGTTCGACATCTGTCGCAGCTCTACCTTTGCCTCGTTTGGCTCTATTATAATGCACTCAATTTTCCTCATTCAATACGACTTGGAACACTTTTAAGAAATATTAATGTATAATGTAGTACAAAAAGATAAATATATTTAACGGACCTTTTATTTTATTTAATATCAGTAAAATTGCTAATCTACTAGACGATAACATAAAGATTAAAAGATTTTTGGTCGTGAAATTTTACCTCTTTATAATTTTAGTATAGATGAATACTTAAAACATAGTCTGTCACTTGTCCGCCATCAACGGCAGTGTTGGGTTCGATAATAATGCTTTCGACCACACTTAATTGTTCTGACTTTAAATATTTTTCAATAACTTTTTTAATTTAATAACCACAGTAATTCAAACCATAAATATTTTAATATATTAGAGCATGTACAAATCAGCATCAGCATTTTTTTTTAATAATAATAATAATAATTTAATAATGATAATAATGCTTTCGACCATAATAATAATTATAATAATAATTTAATAATGATAATAATGCTTTCGACCACACTTAATTGTTCTGACTTTAAATATTTTTCAATAACTTTTTTAATTTAATAACCACAGTAATTCAAACCATAAATATTTTAATATATTAGAGCATGTACAAATCAGCATCAGCATTTTTTTTTACCCCAACAAGTTTAAAGGGATATACTACTATTAATATTTTTGCGACCCCAGCAGTAGAGCTATCCAAAAACAGAAAAACTATAGCCCATTAAAATCTGTTGGGAATACACCCGGAATTGGTGCCATATTTCAATGTCTTAACCACAATTCGATTTAATTTTCGCTTTGCTGGTGAACCGAAACGAAGTCCTTTTCAGTTTTACAAAATGGTCGATTGTGTTCGTTTGCTGCTAAGGGCAGTTAACTTATATAGTCATTTCATCGGCTTAAACAACTTTGTGTTCGACGCCAGAACAGGTCGCGTCTTCACGACATGGTTTGGTACTCTCTACGCAATCGCGATCGACGTCGTGATTTGTACTAGCTTTGTCTATTGCAGTGTTTCCCAAACTTTTTGGGACCGCGACCCATCTACACAAAAAATTGCAAGATCTATATGACCATTAGTACCCACCAAAAATCTACCCGCGACCCACCAGTGGGCCGCGACCCACACTTTGGTAAAAACTGGTCTATTGCATTGCTGAATTTTTCTTGAAAAGTCCAAATAAACTGCACGCGTTCGTCCTCACCGCTATGATACTATTATGGATAGTTGCAGGGATTATAAATAAATTAAAAGCAGACTGAAATAAAACAACTTTCAGGGTTTCTAACGAGAATCAATAGAGCGCAACCGATGGAAGAATGGAGTGATGGCAACGACTGGCTGGATAGCGGTTGAGATTGAAGAAGCGAGATATAGCAAAAGCGAGCCTTAATAATTATCTAAGATATATGTATTCTTGTAACCAATAAACTTAATGGCTACATCTTCGCCGTGAACTGATGCAGCTCACTAGTCAAATCATTCGGCTTCAAATGGCTGACCCCTAGGTGACAGAATTATCCCGCTTCTGGCTTATTTCAAAGATCTTCGTCGGCTTTGCTGCTGTTCTCTCCGATCTCATACTAGCCCTGATTATATTCGGTGGTGTGAGAAGAAATCTAATTATGAATTGATATGTGTATTCTGGTCTTTGAGCATTAACAACATGGCCATAATGCAATTTCACAATTTTGTGCTCTTCTTAGACAATATGGAAAATTGATATGTATTTTGTTCGAAATATTTAATGACTGCAAGGGTATATAAGCCTCGGCTTGCCAAAGCTAGCTTCCTTTATTGTTCTAGTTGAACTTCGAATTTATTTTTGGTTTCACGTTAGCATATAACTGCTAATCAAGTAATTAATTTTTGTAATTATACTTGTTTTCTTGTGAAGTACATAAATAGTTTGTTCATCATTTTCTGCCTTACTGTTTTATTCTCCTCCACCTTTTTGATTTCCATTCTGATTACGCACAATTCGAAATTTAATCTTATCGGTAGATCTGTGTCTGCAATCAATACATTAGGTAAATACATTTCCACATAACCCACAACGAAGCTAACATTACTCATTCAACAAGCCTTTTTAGTTAGCCAAAATGGTCGAATGGATCGGTTGGTTATTAAAGGTGGTCTACTTATATGGACACCTAATCGGAATTAGGAACTTCGAGTTCGACTGGCGGAAAGGTCGCGTTTTCACATCCACAAGAAGCACATTCTATGCCGGTGTCATTCACGCCATAATATTAATTATCTTGATAATAATGTCATTAAAGCAACTCAATGTATGGACGATCTTCGGCAAGTCAAATATGTTGCTAAAATATGTTCTCGTCATTGTTTTCGGACTGAGGATATTAGCAGGTTGGATTATGCGTATCTAGACAATTTTTTGAATTTGAAAATTCAGGGATTCTAAAGAAAATAAGTAGTACATCTGTTTTGTTTCAGGGCTCTCCACAGTCCTCATCAGATGGCCTCAGAGAACCCTGATGATGCAGTTCGCCAGAACATTTCTTCGTTTGTTTCTGCAAAGACCGCAGGTGATGCAGATGTCCCGCTGGGGGAGTTTTATTCAAGATAATCATTTCATCTGTCACTGACTTGTTGCAAATGATATCCATCTGGATCGCATGGGAACAAAGTAAGCCCGATCAAGCCTTGGGGATATTTCTACAGTACTGGATGTCAGCAATTGTGAATTTGGCCATAACGGAACACTATCTGGCAATCCTTTTCGTTAGGGCTTACTATAACCTTCTCAACCGGGAGCTACGACAGGTGATGGAAGAGTGCAAGAAGTTGAGTAACCTTCCCCAGCGAAGGGGTGCTTTCATGACCAGATGTTGCGATCTGGCCGATCAGTTGGACGACATTGCTCAGCTTCAAAGTGAGCTGATCTCAATGGTGACCCATTTGAGTAAGGCCCTCGGCATTCAGGGGCTAATGGTTTATGGGGGATACTACATATTCTCAATAGCCACCGTTTACCTTTCGTACAGTATCTTCAAAACTGGATATGATAATCTGGATATGTCCCTGGCGTCAATGATTATGGCCTGCATTTGGGGGTTCTTTTACTACATTGATGCCTTTCTCAATCTATTTATTACTCTTAATCTACTTGACGACCACAAAGAGATAAAACGTCTATTGGGGGAGCGAACCGTCTTTGCCTCTCGTTTGGACATTCGTCTGGAGGAATCTGTAAGATGCCCTAAGCCACAATAAAAATTTAAACCATAATTTAATTATTTTTCAAAACAGTTTGAGAAAATGGAGCTGCAGTTGATAAGAAACCCGCTAAAAATCGACATACTCAAGACATATTTCATCACTCGCGAGACTTCAACTGCGATGTTGGGATCAGTAATAATGCATTCTATAATACTTATTCAATTTGACTTGGAATTCTTTTAAGTTGTATTTACTTTAAGAGAACTGCATGATGTGAGGAGTTACAACGAATCCGATACTTAAAAAAATATAATTACTGAACTTATATAGACACCAGCAACTTTTCTACACATATTGATACCCGTAATATTTTTTCTGCGGCCCCCAAGGTATACATATTTAATCAAAAAACAGTAAGTAAATTCCTTTAGAATTGGATGGAAATAATTCTACCATATTTCAATGTCAGTCCTCGCAATTTAATATACTATTCGCTTCGCTTAGGGACAGTAACAAAGTCTGTTTTAGTTCTACAAAATGGTCGATTGCGTTCGTTTGCTGCTGAGGGCAGTTAACTTTTATAGTCATTTGATCGGCTTAAACAACTTTGAGTTCGACACCAAAACAGGTCGCGTCTTCACAACATGGTTTGGTACTCTCTACGCAATTGTGATCAACGTCGTGCTTATAACTAGCTTTATTTATACTTGCACTCAGCAATCTAGCTTGGATGTCTTCTTTAAGAGTGAACATAATCTGCGCACGTTTATAATCGTTGCTACAATTCTTTTGGGGAATTTTTCAGGTACTGAAAATGAGTAACAGACAAACTACAAAAAAATAAATTTTAGGGTTTTTCACGATGCTTTATAGATGGCACCAGCGCAAACAACTGATGCAGCTCGTTAGAAAACTCCTTCGCCTTCATCTGACTCATCCTCAACTCAGCAAATCATCCTGCTTCTGGCTTGTTTTAAAGACCTTGACCAGCTTGAGTACTGACCTATACCGTCTCCTAATAATCCTTTTTTTATTAGGTCACGTGAGGAGCGAAATAATTTGGAAATTTCTTGTGCACATTTTGCTTATGGCCGTATTTAATCTGGCCAAAATGCACTATCACCTTTTGATGCTCTTCGTACAGGCACATTATCAGCTTTTGAATAACAAACTCCGGCAAATAATTAAAGAAAGTGAGACCCTAAGTCACCTTCCCCAAAAAAGGGGTTCTGTTATTACCAGATGCTGCGACCTTTCGGATCAGTTGGAGGATATTGCTAAAACCCAGAGCCAGCTGCATGCAGTTTTATCAGACTTCAATGAATTGTTTGGCATACAAGGTGCAGTGAACATATGCACATCCTTTCTATTCTCTGTGGCCATGATTTATCTCTTCTACTTTGATCTCAAATATGGTGAAAGGGCTCTTAGTATTGCAATTAAAAACACTTGCAGCATTTTCTACTACTCGGATTCCTTTATCAATCTGTTTATTACTTTTTTTCTTATTGAAGAAAATGAAAAGATGAAAAATCTGTTGGGGAAACGAACCTTGTTTGCCTCTCGATTGGATGAACGCCTCGAGCAATCTGTAAGCTACAATTATCTAATGCATCACTTTTAGTCAAAATTTGATATATTTTTTATATATTTTTTAGTTTGAGAGCCTCCAGTTGCAGCTTTTACAAAATCCTTTAAGAATTAAAGTCATGGGAATATTCGAAATGAGTCGCAGTTCAATTTTTACCATGTTTGGTTCTATTCTGATGCATTCAATAATTCTCATTCAATATGACTTCGAACACTTTTAAGAATTATTATTGTCAATATTTATGTATTTTACTTACAGCAATCACAAATACATCAAGAAATTAAACTGAAACATAATCATTAAATTCATTAAAAATTAATTTAACAATTGGTTACATTTTTGTTTTTATTTTTTACAGAAAAGATATTAAAGTTGAGGTTTTAGTTATTTTTAAACATTGTTTATTGAAATCAAATACAACAAATAAAGAGAATAAATTGAGAACGCACCAATGAGAATGTGTGGAGATGGACTGAATTTTTGAAGTGATTTTGTGACGACAACATTCGGGAATACCTACAACTACTTTTGTTTCTCTTTAACTGCTCGTCTAGAGGAATCTGTTAAGGGGTTATATACCTTCTTTGTCGAAGAAAAAGAGGAAAGTTCGGATTTTTTTTTAGGTATGCAGCAATTATTTAATTACACGGATGTTTTAATTTTTTGATAGTACACTTTATTAACAATGTTTGTGCAAAATTTCGTGGAAAAATATTAAATCTATTTTACTAAGAGGAAACCTGCACAAACCACCCAGCCATCGAAGCAATTAAATTATTCTAAAGCAGCTCGAATATGTATATACTTAAATTTGTGAACCTACGACCTTACGACCCTACGACCTCTTTATTGTATATTGGGATGGATTTCAAATGAACAATATTTATTACACTTTTCAAATCTGATCGGGCACATCCTAAATATACATAGCTGCTATTTCAAAGCCAAACCCTTAATTTAATTAACTATTGGCTTCGCTGATGTACCATCACAAAGTCAGCTTTAGTTTTACAAAATGGTCGATTGTGTTCGTTTGCTGCTGCGGTTTTTTTATATGTCGTTTGATCGGCTTGATAACTTTGTGTTCGACATCAGAACAGGTCGCGTCTTCACAACATGGATTACTAATATCTCCCCAATCAACATCGTGATTACTACAGCCTTTATCTTCTATTACACTCAATTCCATTCGATTGTAGATGTAAGTATTTCTTAGATGCCTTTATAAAGCTGTTAACTACTTTCTCCTTAATTGAAGAGCACGAGAAGATGAAAAATCTAGAGCACAAACATATTAAAATATTAAACCGAACTTTCATTTTGTTTATTATCAGCTAAATCTTTAATCAATTAGACGACAACAAGAAAATTACACAATATTTGGCAAGCAAACTGTTTTTTCCCATTGAAAAGATATTTGTTTAAAATAATTATTAAGGTATCTCAGATTAAAAATTTTTGATACGGTTAAGGAGCATGTTGCTGGCGTTGAAACGAAAACCCCTTTCAAAGTCGAAATACTTAACACAACTTCAAACACTAATCAGTCTTCATCGCCCAGGTTGGGATTGGTAAAAACGCCCTCGACAACTCTTAATCAATTTGACTTTACTTTAGTTTACATTATAATTTAAATAACTGCAGTAATTCGAAGAAAAAATATTTCAAAACATTGGGCGAATGATTTAGTCATAATTTTTTACCCCCGGAACGTTTAACGTCTTACAGAATATGCAAATATTTAAGCCCGTTATAATATTTTTGCAACCCCAGAAGGCACAGCTATTCAAAAACACAAAAAGGATAGCCCATTAAAAAATAATGGGAATGCTTTCGGAATTGGTGGCATATTTCAATGTCAGTCCCCGCAATTTAATTAAAAGTTCGCTTCGCTCAGGAAATGAATCGAAGTCTCTTTCAGTTTTACAAAATGGTCGATTGTGGTCGATTTCTGCTGAGCGCGGTTAACTCATATAGTTATTTGATCGGCTTAAATAACTTTGTGTACGACACCAGAACAGGTCGCGTTTTCACAACATGGTTTGGCACTCTCTACGCAATCGCGATCAACGTCGTGATTTTTATTAGCTTCATCTATTGTTTAACTCAATTTAAATCCGATTTTTTCTTGAAAAGTCCAAATAAACTGCATGCATTTATCCTCTCTGCTATAATACTATTTCGGATAATAGCAGGTATAGACAAGAAAGGAAGCTAGCTTCGGCAAGCCGAAGCTTATATACCCTTGCAGATCTCAAATACGTCGAACAAAATGCATAAAGCCTAACAACATCAAAGCTATGACGATTTTCTATTCATTTTCCATATTTTCGACTATCCTATGGGAGCTATATGATATAGTTGTCCGATTTTGATCAAATTTAATTCGTAATTCAAGAATCGTAAGAAAACTCTATATTCCAAAAACCATACTTGCCTGATGAAAAACAACGATGTTATAAATTTATTTTCGTTATTTCAATATAGATTTTTCGATCTTTCCTATGGCGGCTATAAGATATAGTTGTCCGATTTTTATGAAATTTTTTCTCAATATAAGAGTTGTTTATAAACTTGATATTCAAAAAGTCATGCTCGTACGATAAAAAACAACGATGTTATCAATTTATTTTCATTAATTCTATATATATTTTTCAATCTCTCCTATGGCAGCTATATGATAGAGTTATCCGATTTTGATCAAATTTAATCCGAAATTCAATCTTGAAGAATTCAAGTCGATCTGATTAAAAACAACGGAGTGAAATTTTTTTTTTTTCAATCTCTCGTATGGGAGCTATCCGATATAGTCGGCCGATCCGGCTCGTTCCGACTTATATACTGCGTGCAATAACTACACAACTTTTGGGAAAGTTTCAGCAAGATAGCTTCAAAACTGAGAGACTAGTTTGGCCAGAAACGGACAGACGGACAGACGTAAAGACGTATTTCGATTCAGAAGGTGATGCTGATCAAGAATATATATAATTTATGGGGTCTGAGGTGTCTCCTTCACTGCGTTGCAAACTTCTGGCCAAAATTATAATACCCTCTGCAAGGGTATAAAAATAAATTAAAAGAAGATGATTATAAAGCAAGTTTTAGGGTTTCTTACGATGGTCAATAGATGGCGCCAGCGCAAACAACTGATGCAGCTTACTAGAGAAGTCCTTCGGCTTCAACTGGCTTATCCACAGGTGAAAGAGTTATCCCGCTTTTGGCTTATTTTGAAGATCTTCACCGGCCTGGCTGCTGACCTCTCCCATCTCTTAATAGCAATGATTGTATTCGGTGGCGTGAGCATAAATCTAATTATGAATTTGTATGTGTATTTCTGGTCATTGTCCATTAACAATATGGCCATAATGCACTATCATCTTTTGCTGCTCTTCGTACAAGCACAGTATCAACATTTAAATAAGAAACTCCGAAAAATTATTCAGGAATGTGAGACCCTGAGTTTCCTTGCCCAGAGAAGGGGTACTGTTATCACCAGATGCTGCGACCTTTCGGATCAAGTAGACGATATTGCTAAAACCCAGAGCCAACTGCAATTTGTTTTCACACGTTTCATTGCATCGCTTGACATACAGAGTGCAGTGATAATATGCGTATCCTACATATCCTCCGTGATCAGTATATATCTATTCTACTATGACCTTAAATATGGGCAATGGAGTCTGGGGACAACATTTAAACAGACAGTTCTGGTTTATACTTGCATTTTTGTTCACTTCTTGGATGGCTCTTTTAAGCTGTTCAGTACTTTATCTTTCATTGATGAGCACAAGAAAACGATAAAGCTATTGAAAAACAGAACATTATTTGCTTCTCAACTGGATGGGCGCCTCGAGCAAACTGTAAGCTTTAAAACGCCCATGTACTTATTTTTAATTTTAATAAATTTGAATTTTTTTAGTTAGAGAGCCTCCAGTTGCAGTTGGTTCGTAACCCCCTAAAAGTTGAAGTCGTGGGGATGTTCCACATCTGTCGCAGCTCAATTTTTACCATGGCTGGCTCTATAATAATGCATTCAATACTCCTCATTCAATATGACTTGGAACATTTTTAGGATGAATAAGTGTCAATACTAATGTTTTATAGTTTCGGCGAGCATAAACACATTAAAATAATAAACTGAACTTCAATATCGTTAATTTCAATTAATAACAGTGGATTATTTGGTGAAATCGACATCTAAACTATAAATGGAAAGGTTGTTTAGCATTTTAAACATAGTTCTAAGAACTTCAAGGGTTGGTGGAAGTGGACGTTTAAAAAAAATTGTCTAGCCTTTTGAAATTTTTCATCTTAGTTGCGCGTATCTGATGGTCGAGGCACTCCACTAAAGAGATCCCATAAGGTTAATTTATTCTTTATTAAGATGCACTTCCAATTAATATGAAACTCTACCCCTTTCAAAATTGTATCGAACAAATTTCAGAATTAGTTCCACATTTCAATGACCTATCTTTCAGTTCTACAAAATGGTCGATTGGGTTCGTTTGCTCCTGAGGGCAGCTTACTTATATAGTCATTTGATCGGCCTAAACAACTATGTGTTCGACAGCAGAACAGGTCGCGTCTTTTCAACATGGATTAGTACTCTCTATGCCATGACGATCAACGTCGTGATTATTACTAGCTTTATTTATTGCTTGACTCAATTCGATTTTCACTTTTTCATTAAAAGGGAAAAAGATCTAAACTTGCTTATCGTCATTGGTTTGACAATTTTAAAGATAATTGCAAAATATTAAAAGCAGAGAAAACTAATACAAGTTTCAGGTTTTTTTACGATGTTTAATAGATGGCGCCACCGCAAGGAACTGATGCAGCTCATTAAAAATCTCCTTCGACTTCATCTCGCTCACCCGCAAGTAACCAGATTATCCCGCTTCTGGTTTATTTCAAAGATCTTATCCAGCGTTGCTACTGACTTATCACGATTCCTTATAGCCATAATGGGACTATGGGTCCTAAGCAGCATACTAACTTTAAATTTATTTGTAGGTTTGAGTTCTATTTTGTATTTCTGGTCTTTGCCCTTTATCAATATGGCCATAATGCACTATCATCTGCTGATGCTCTTCGTTAAAGTACAGTGTCAGCTTTTGAACAAGAAACTGCGACAAATTATTGTGGAATGTGAGACGCTGAGTTACATTCCCCAGAGAAGGGGTACTGTTATTACCAGATGCTGCTACCTCTCGGATCAGTTGGAGGATATTGCTAGAACCCAGAGCCAGCTGCAATATGTGATCACGCATTTCGGTGAAGTGCTTGGAATACAGAATGCAGTGGTCTTTTGCCAAAGCTTTATAATATCCGTGGTCAGCATTTATCTCTTTTACTATGATCTCAAATATGGTCAATGGATTATGGGGATACCAATTAAAACCATTTGTTTATTTTTTTTCCTCTTGGTACCTCCATCAATACGTTTATTATTTTTTCCTTCATTAATGAGCACAAGGATATGAAAAATCTGTTGGAGAAAGGACCTTGTTTGCCCCTCGATTAGGTGAACGCCTCGAGCAATCTGTGAGCTCAATTAAGCTAATATAGATTTCTTATTCTGTTTTTTTTTTAGTTCGATAGCCTACAGTCCCAGCTGGTACGAAACCCTCTAAAAGTTGAAATCATGGGAGTATTCGAGATCTGACCTAACTCAATATTTACCATGTTTGGCTCTATTATGATGCATGTAATACTCCTTTTTCAGTATGACTTGGAACACTTTTAAAAATATTTATTGTAAATACTTATGTAATTTATTAACAGCGAGCACAAACAAATAAAAAAATTAAACTGAGCTTTGAAACCTGGAACCATATTTAAAAACGTTTTTTTGTTAAATTTGAATACTTTTAAGTAACATTTTAATTTTAAGAGTTTTAATAATTAAAATAATAAATAATTTAGTAACTTAAATTGACTGGGTAATCGAAGCCATTTAATTACGCAAAAAGAGTTTGATAGCATATTTGTATACCCGTTTAGTTATTTTTTGTTATCTATCCGTTTGCAACAAGAAAATTAAACAATTATTGGAAGCAAACTGTTTCTGCCCATTGAAAATATATTTGTTTGAAGGAATTATCAAGTTAACTCAGACTTAAAAATTTTCAATAGGGTTAAGGAGCAAAATCGAAATACTTAAAACATCGTCTAACACTAAATAGTCTTCATCGCCTGGTTGGGATCGCCAATAACGCATTCAACAATTCTTAATCAAGTTGACATTGATTACCTAAAATTAACATTTTTATTTAAATAACTGCAGTAATTCGAAGAAAAAATATTCCAATGCATTGGGCGAATCACTTAGTCATGAGCAAATGTTTTACCCCCGGAACGTTTAACGGTTATCGTAATATGCATATATTTAAGCCCGTTATAATGTTTTTGCAACCCCAGAAGGTTCATGCTATTCAAAAACACAAACAGTACGGCTCATTATAAAATGATGGGAATACTTTCGGAATTGGTGCCATATTTCAATGTCAGTCCCCGCACTGTAGTTAAATTTTCGCTTAGCTCCGGAAACGAAACGAAGTCTCTTTTAGTTTTACAAAATGGTCGATTGTGTTCGTTTGCTGCTGAGGGCAGTTAACATATATAGTCATTTTATTGGCCTAAACAACTTTGTATTCGACACCAGAACAGGTCGCGTTTTCACAACATGGATTAGTACTCTTTATCCAATCGCGGTCATCGTCGTGATTTTTACTAGCGCTTTCTATTGTGTAACTCAATTCGATTTTGTTGTTTTCTTTAAAAGCGCAAATAAACTGCACGTGTTGGTCCTCACCGCTTTGTTTTTTATTTGTGTAATTGCAGGTATTAGCAGAAAATTAAGCTTGTTTCGGCTAGCCGAAGCTTATATACACTTGCAGTTGGAACTTAAGTTGATAAGATTATTTGACTAATAACAAATCGATAGTATCACAGTTTTCCTATTGTAAGTCCGATCCATAAAAAGTAGAAATAGGGTGTTAAGTATTCCGATCTTTACGCAATACACTCGTATTCATTCCACCAGCAATGGATTCAAGGCTTTTGCAGTATTTTTAGCGGGATAGTTTTCCGGATGAGCGACTACTTTGGGCCACCGACTTAGACAGTGAATAAATATATTTATATAATATTGAGGCTGACATTGTAATATATTCTGCAAGGGTATACAAATAATTTAAAACAAGACTTATATAATACAATTTTCAGGGTTCCTTACGGTTATCAATAAATGGCGCCAGCGCAAGCAACTGATGCACCTCACTAGAAAATTTATCTGCCTTCATTTGGCTCTTCCGCAAGTAAAGGGATTACAGCGCTTCTGGCTTTTCTCAAAGATCTTCATCGGCCTGACTTCTGACTTCTCCCGTCTCTTGCTAGCCATGAATATATTGGGTCGCGTAAGCCGCGAACACATTATGAAAGTTTTTCTGTTTTCGTGGTCTGTGGCCATTTTAAATCTGGCCATAATGCACTTTCATCTGTTGATTCTTTTCGTAAAGGTACAATACCAGCTTTTAAACAAGAAATTGCGACAAATTATTCAGGAAAGTGAGACCTTGAGTTACCTTCCCCAGAGAAGGGGTACTGTTATGACAAGATGCTGCGATCTTTCGGATCAGTTAGAGGATATTGCTAGAACCCAGAGCCAGCTGCAATATGTTTTCACGCGTTTCAGTGAATTGCTGGGCATACAGAGTGCAGTGGTCATATGCGTATCCTATATGTCCTTCGTGATCAACATATACCTCTTCTACTATGATATTAAATATGGGCAATGGGCTCCAAGTACAACATTTAAATTTATGGCTTTGGCGTATACCTGTCGATTTTTACAATTTTTGGATTTCTTTATTAACCTGTTCAGTACTTTTTCCTTCATTGATGAGCACAAGAAGATGAAAAATCTTTTGGAGAAACGAACATTAATTGCTTCTCGATTGGATGAACGGCTCGAGCAATCTGTAAGCATTAATGAGCTCAATAATTCCCCTTAATCAAAAACTTATATTTTCCCTAGTTCGAGAGTATGCAGTTGCAGCTTGTACGAAACCCCCCTAAAATTTGAGGTCATGGGATTGTTCGACATCTGTCGCAGCTCTTTTTTGAAATGTTCGGCTCAGTTATAATGCATTCAATACTCCTTATTCAATGTGACTTGGAACACTTTTAATAAAAATTAATGTAAAATGTATCTTATTTACGGCGAGCACAAACCGATTAAAATATTATATTAAACCGAACTTTCGTTTTGTTTAATATCAGCAAAATCGCTAAAGAAGATTTTATTGGTACTGCATTTTGATTTTTGGGCTTAACAAACTCTTTTGTATAAACAGCGAATGGCGTTTTAGACTTTCTACGTATTTCGAAAGTTTAAGGGTGAGCGTTGAAACTGTTCAGCTTAGTAGGGCTTATCTGATAGTCGAGGCACTCTACTAAAATGACCCCATAGTTTAAATTTATTCCCTATCAAGATCCTTTCCCAAACAACATGAAACTCTTCCCCTTCCAAGTCTTATCGAAAGAATTAAGTAAGTGCCATATTTCAAAGTCAGTCGCTGCAATTTAATTTAATTTTCGCTTCGAAAAACGAGTTTTCTTTCAGTTCTACAAAATGGACGAATGTATTCATTTGCTGCTGAGGGTAATCTACTTATATAGTCATTTGATCGGCTTAAGCAACTTTGTGTTCGAAAGAACAGGTCGCGTTTTCACAACGTGGATTAGTACTCTCTACACCATGACGATCAACGTCGTTGTTATAACTAGCTGTATCTATTGTTTAACTCAATTCGATTTTGATATTTTCTTTAAAAGAGGAAATCAAGTACACACGTTTGTCCTCATCAGTTTGACAATTTTAAGGATAATTGCAGGTATTAAGAAAATATTGAAGCCAGACAAAACTAATTCAAGTTCCAGGTTTTTTTACCATGCTTAATAGATGGCGCCACCGCATGGAACTGATGCAGCTCATTAAAAATCTCCTTCGACTTAATCTCGCTCATCCGAAAGTAAACAGATTATCACACGGCTGGCTTATTTCAAAGGTCGTAACAAGCTTAGTTACTGACTTTTTACGATTATTTTTGGCCCTGATTGTAGTAACGGCCGTGAACAACAATCTAACTATGAATTTACATATAATTATGTGTTCTATTTTGTATTTCTGGTCTTTGACCTCCATCAGTATGGCCATAATGCACTATCATCTGCTAATGCTCTTTATAAAGGTACAATACCAGCTTTTAAACAAGAAACTGGGACAAATTATTCTGGAATGTGAGACCCTGAGTTACCTTCCCCAGAGAAGGGGTACTGTTATGACAAGATGCTGCGACCTTTCGGATCAGTTGGAGGATATTGCTAGAACCCAGAGCCAGTTGCAATATGTTTTCATGCGTATCACTGAATTGCTTGGAATACAGAATGCAGTGGTCATATGCGTATCCTTCATAACCTCCATAGCGACCATATATTTTATATTCTATGATCTCAAATATGGTCAATGGACTTTTACAGTGATATTAAAATTTGCGGCTCTGGCGTATCTTACTACCTTTTTATACTACTTGGATATGTCTATGAATATTTTTATTACTTTTTCTTTACTTGATGAGCACGATGAGATGAAAAATCTACTGGGGAAACGAACCTTGTTCACTTCTCGAATGGATAAACGCCTTGAACAATCTGTGAGCTTTAATAATCTAATATGTTCCTATTATTTAATATTTAATATTTGTTTTAGTTCGAGAGCTTCCAGTTACAGCTGGTACGAAACCCTCTAAAAGTGGAAGTCATGGGGTTGTTCGTCATCTGTCGCAGCTCCACATTTGCCATGTTTGGATCTGTTATAATGCATTCAATACTCCTCTTTCAATATGACTTGGAACAGTTTTACAAAAAGTGAACAACTAATGTATTTTATTTACGACCAGCACAAATCCACTCAAAAATAAACCGAACTTTGAAAGCGTTAAATTTCATAAATTATTACTAGAGTTCTTAATTTATAGAGGGTTCGTAGCCCTATAAGATATACGCTTAAAGGAATCTGTGAGATGCTTTCAAGCAAACTCATCCTAAGCCCGCTCCAAGCCGAGATATCTTGGAATCGGTAATAACGCTTTGAACATCCTTAATTATCTGGAATCATCATTTAATTTAAAAGAAGAAGAAATATATAATTTTTTAAATAATTAAAGCCTGTACGAATTATTAGTCATCAAGTACATTAATTTTAAGCACTTATAATGTTTTTGTGCGACCCCAGAAGAATATAATTAAATAAAACAATACTTCCCTTTAAAATCTGATGGCAAAAACTTCCGGAATTGGTTCTATAGTTCAATGTCATACCCGCAATTCAATTTCATTTTCGCTTTGATGGGGAACTGAAGGGAAGTCGCTTTTAGTTTTACAAAATTGCGTTCGTTTGCTGCTTGGGGCCGTTAACTTATATAGTCATTTGATCGGGTTCAACAACTTTGTGCTCGATAGCAGAACAGGTCGCGTTTTCACTACATGGATGAGTATTCTCTACGCAATCGCGATCAACGTCGGGGTAATTATTACCTTTATCTTTTATTACACTCAATTCGATTTTATTTTCTTCAAAAGTGAAAATAAGCTGCACGCGTTTGTCCTGATCGCTTTGATTTTATTTAGGTTAATTGCAGGTATTAACAAGAAAGGAAGATAGTTTTGGCTAGCCGGATCTTATTTACCCTTGCAGTAGGAACTTAAGTTGATCAGACTATTTGCCTCGTTGAAGATCTATCCTTATATCGTATAAATAGGGTGTTAAGAATTTTGCAATAATTCCGATCCTTACGTCTTATACTCGTATATGCATACCAACACCAATAGCTTCAAGACTTTTATAGAAGTTACAGAGGGAAAGTTTTCAAGCTGAACGACCAGTTTGGACACAGATAGTGAATATATGTAAATTGGGGCTGAAAGTATAGTATCTTTTCTCTGCAAAGGATACATATCACTTAAAACCAGACTAATTCAAAGCAAGTTTCAGGGTTCCTAACGATAATCAATAGATGGCGCCAGCGCAAACAACTGATGCAGCTCACTAGCAAATTTTAAATTTAATAAGCACGGTAATTCAAACCATAAATATTTCAATATATTGGAGCCTGTACAAATCATAAGTCATCAGTATTTTTTTAACAGAACAAGCTTAAAGGGATATACTAATATTAGGTGCAGCTATCCAAAAATCTGTTGGGAATACACCGGGAATTGGAGTCATATTTCAATGTCATAACCGCAATTTAATTAAATTTTCCCTTCGTTGCGGCACTGAAACGAAGTCTTTTCAGTTTTACAAAATGGTCGATTGGGTTCGTTTGCTGCTAAGGGCAGTTAACTTATATAGTCATTTCATCGGCTTAAACAACTTTGTGTTCGACGCCAGAACAGGTCGCTCCTTCACGACATGGTTTGGTACTCTCTACGCAACCGCGATCAACGTCGTGATTTTTACTAGCTTTGTCTATTGTTTAATTGAATTTGATTCCGACTTTTTTTTGAAAAGTCCAAATAAACTGCACGCGTTCGTCCTTACCGCTATGATACTATTATGGATAGTTGCAGGTATTATAAATAAATTAAAAGCAGACTGAAATAAAACAATTTTCAGGGTTTCTTACGATAATCAATAGATGGCTCCAGCGCAAACAACTGATGCAGCTTACTAGAAAAGTCGTTCGGCTTCAACTGGCTTACCCCCAGCTGACAGAGTTATCCCGCTTCTGGCTTATTTCAAAGATCTTCGTCGGCTTTGCTGCTGACCTCTCCCACCTCCTACTAGCTATGATTGTATTAGGTGGTGTGAGCAGAAATCTGGTTATGAATTTGTATGTGTATTTTTGGTGTTTGGCCGTTAACAACATGGCCCAAATTCAATTTCACATTTTGGTGCTCTTCGTAAAGGCACACTATCAGATCTTAAATCAAAGACTGCGACAAATTATTCAGGAATGTGAGACCTTGAGTTACCTTCCCCAGAGAAGGGGTACTGTTATGACAAGATGCTGTGACCTTTCGGATCAAGTGGACGATATTGCTAAAACCCAGAGCCAGTTGCAATATGTTTTCACACGTTTCATTGCATCGCTTGACATACAGGGTGCAGTGATCATATGCGTATCCTACATATCCTCCGTGATCAGTATATATCTATTCTACTATGACCTTAAATATGGGCAATGGAGTCTGCGGACAACATTTAAACAGACAGTTCTGGTTTATACTTGTATTTTTGTTCACTTCTTGGATGGCTCTTTTAAACTGTTCAGTACTTTATCTTTCATTGATGAGCACAAGAAGACGATAAAGCTATTGAAAAACAGAACATTATTTGCTTCTCAACTGGATGGGCGCCTCGAGCAAACTGTAAGCTTTAAAACGCCCATGTACTTATTTTTAATTTTAATAAATTTGAATTTTTTTAGTTGGAGAGCCTCCAGTTGCAGTTGGTTCGTAACCCTCTAAAAGTTGAAGTCGTAGGGATGTTCCACATCTGTCGCAGCTCATTTTTTGCCATGGCTGGCTCTATAATAATGCATTCATTAATCCTCATTCAATATGACTTGGAACACTTTTAAAAAGAATATATGTCAATACTTATGTTTTGTATTTTCACACATTAAAATAATAAACTGAACTTTAATATCGTTAATTTCAATTAATAACAGTGGATTATTTGGTGAAATCGACATCTAAACTATTAATGGAAAGGTTGTTTAGCATTTTAAACATAGTTCTAAGAACTTCAAGGGTTGGTGGAAGAGGACGTTTGAAAAAATTGTCTAGCCTTTTGAAATTGTTCATCTTAGTTGCGCGTATCTGATGGTCGAGGCACTCCACTAAAGAGATCCCATAAGGTAAATTTATTCTTTATCAAGATGCACTTCCAATTAATATGAAACTCTACCCCTTTCAAAATTGTATCGAACTAATTTCAGAATTAGTGCCACATTTCAATGTCAGTCCCCGCAATTTAATTTAATTTTCGCTTCGTTGGAGAAAAAAATGACTTATCTTTCAGTTCTACAAAATGGTGGATTGGGTTCTTTTGCTGCTGAGGGCAGCTTACTTATATAATCATTTGATCGGCCTAAACAACTTTGTGTTCGACAGCAGAACAGGTCGCGTCTTTTCAACATGGATTACTACTCTCTTAGCCATAACGATCAACGTCGTGATTATTATTAGCTTTATCTATTCTTTAACTCAATCGATTTTAATTTTTTTATTAAAAGTGGAAAACAACAAAACACGCTTGTCCTCATCACTTTGACAATTTTAAGGATAATTGCAGGTATTAAGAAAAGATTTAAAGCAGACTAAAATTAATAAAGTTTCAGGCTTTTTTACGATGCTTAATAGATGGCGCCACCGCAAGGAACTGATGCAGCTCGTTAAAAATCTCCTTCGCCTTTATCTCGCTCATCCGGAAGCAAACCGACTGTCCCGCTTCAGGCTTATTTCAAAAATTTTAACCAGCTTTGCTACTGACTTATCACGATTCTTAGTAGCCATGATTTTTTTAGGTGGCCTAAGAATCGATCTAACTATGAATTTATATGTAATCATGTTTATTATTTTGTATTTCTGGTCGTTGGCCTTCACCAATATGGCCATAATGCTCTATCATCTGTTGATGCTCTTCGTAAAGGTACAATACCAGCTTTTAAACACGAAATTGCGACAAATTATTCTGGAATGTGAGACCCTGAGTTACGTTCCTCAGAGAAAGGGTTCTGTTATGACAAGATGCTGTGACCTTTCGGATCAAGTGGACGATATTGCTAAAACCCAGAGCCAGTTGCAATATGTTTTCACACGTTTCATTGCATCGCTTGGCATACAGAATGCAGTTATCTAATGCGTATCCTACATATCCACCGTAGCCATCTTATATTTTTTGTACTATGATCTCAAATATTGTCAATGGATGATATTTAAATTTGCGGCTCTGTCGTATACCTATTTCTAGAATTCTATACTGCCTGGATATCTCTTTAAATATGTTGATGACTTTTTTTCTTCTTGATGAGCACAATGAGTTAAAAAGTCTGCTGGGGAAACGAGCCTTGTTCGCTTCTCGATTGGATGAACGCCTTGAGCAATCTGTAAGCTTCGATAATATTATATAATATTTTCTTATAAATTAAAATTTGATGTTTTTTATAGTTTGAGACCTTCCAGTTACAGCTGGTACGAAACCCTCTAAAACTTGAAGTCATGGGAATTTTGGAGGTCTGTCGCAGCTCAATGTTTACCATGATTGGCTCTATTATAATGCAGTCAATACTCCTCATTCAGTATGACTTGGAACACGTTTAAGAAAAATTAAAGTAAAAACTTATGTACCTTATTTATTACGAGCGGGCAACGGGCAATGCACTTGTGGCAATATTAAGCAACAATTAATCTTGTATCGAAGGGAAATTTTCCATTAAAATGTACATATTTTTTATCCGATATGTAATAAATTCTTCCGACCCACCTAAGCTACAAAATTAGATATATTTTAGTCAACTCCGTAAGGAATTGGTACCATATGTTAATGTCAGGAAAATGTAGATATACATAGCTGTGTCCTCTAAGCTTTAGATCCGAATAGAGAACACTTTCAGTTGTACAAAATGATGGACGTGGTCGGTTTAACGTTGAGGGTCGTCTACTTCTATAATCACCTTATCGGGTTAAACAACTTTGAATATGACCCGCGAACTGGTCGCGTCTTTAAAACCTGGAGGAGTACTTTATTCGCCTCCACAATCAGTGTATTGGCTTTTGGTGGCCTTATCTATATATCCTCTTTGCATTTTGACTTTGATAAGATTTTGGGAAGGCATAACAAGATGCGCTTATATTTTTTTATTACAATAAGCATTTTCAGAATATTCGCAGGTAAGACATGTGTATAACCAAAAAAAAAAAAAAAAATCTAAAATAAAGCTTTTTTCAGGCTTTACCACTGTGCTCAACAGATGGCTCCAGCGGAAGAAGCTAATGCAGCTCGTCCAGAAATTACTCCAACTGCTTTCGGCCAATGGGCAGGTGAAAGGAATATCCCGTCGGTTGATTCTCGTCAAGATATTGAGTAGTTTTGGGACTGACCTCTTTCATTTTATATTGACATTATCTTTATTGCATCAACACAGCTCCAGAATAGCTATTGGTTTATGTTTGGAGTTTTGGACTATGTCCATTACAAACCAAGCCTTGTTGCAATATTTTTTGGCGACGGTTTGCTTTCGGTCGCAATATCAGCTTTTAAACGCGGAGCTGCGAGAAATTGTCAAGGAGTGCGAGCAGTTGAGTTACCTTCCTCAGCGAAAAGGAGGTTTCATGACCAGATGTTGCTCTTTGTCGGATCAGTTGGACCTTATTGCCCAAAGGCAGAGCGACATGCAGACGATTGTCGCACTGGCCAACGAGCTACTCGGTATCCAGGGGGTGCTGTTCGTCTGCGGGCACTACTTGACCTCACTGAGCGGCTTGTATTTTACCTACTGTTTTATTCAATATGGTTCCAAAATTCAGACATTGGCCATGAAACTAATAGTCACATTCTACATATGGATCTTCTTGTACTTGTTTGATGCCTTGATCACTATGATAGTTTTGTTTTCAGCTTTTGATAATTACCGGAATATGAAACATCTTTTGGAAAAGAGAACACGGTTTGCTTCTATTTTGGATATACGCCTCGAGCAATCTGTAAGTTTCTTTGGGATTAACTATGCCAAATCTTGCAATATTTGTTTTCCAGTTTGAAAGCTTCCAGCTGCAACTTGTGCGAAACCCCTTGAAAGTGGAGTTCTTGGGGCTATTCCGAGTCGATCGGGGCTTACTCGCTGCCCTGTTTGGCTCTGTTATAATGCATTTTCTTTCTCTTGTTCAATTGGACTTGGAGTTATTTTTCGTATTGGATTTTTAAACTTCCTTAAAAGGCAAGCATGAAGCACTACAATAACTAAAAAATTGTTCTTAAATTTAATACTCAAATATAATATCCATAATTTAAATGCACCAAGTATAACGTGTTGAGAAATTCTTTTACTAATGCAATATTTTTAATTCAATATGACATCTTTAACTCCTGAATCGAAATACTCAATTAATAAATATTTTTGCTCCTATAATAATATAAATTTCTCATTTAAATTTCAAACTACAATTTTTATTCTAATTTTTTTTACAATTTTTATAAAGTATTTTCTAAATAAATTATTGTTGTATTCCAAATTCTTGTTTTTGCATAGTTCTCAGTGAGTGTGTTGCATTTACTCAATGAAATACCTTTCGGGAGGAACACGATACAAAACAATCTAAACAGATAATCTACTTCCGAAATTAGCTTTGATACTTCAGGCCACTCGTTAAGTCATAATGAGCCTGGCCAGGAAAGCAGCAGCGGAAACAGTTTCAGTTTAGTAAAATGGCCAACGTGGTCGGATTGCTGCTTACAGCGGTTAATTTTTACTGTCACTTGATCGGCTTAAGCAACTTTGAATATGACTGGCGAACAGGACAAGTCTTCACTTCTTGGAAAAAAACTCTTTACGCGGCTACAATCAATGCGATGGCTTTTATTTTCCTATTTCTTTTTCTCAGAGATGCCATGAATTTTGCTACGGTCTTTGGAAGTGCAAACAAACTTACCGTTTATGTTAACATAACTCTGACCATTCTAAGAATAATCGCAGGTAGGAATACATGTTTCAAAAGCACAATATAACAAATAAAATTTCAGGTCTTTTAACAGCGTTAAGTAGATGGAGCAAACGCAAACGGATAATGAACTTTGTCAAAAAGTTTTCCCTCATTTTTCTCGCTAACTACAAAGACACCAAAGTATCCAGCTGGTGGTTTTTCATAAAGATTCTTTCCAGTTTTTGCGTTGACCTCTTCCATTTTGCATTGTCCATAAATATATTGGGTAGCGTGAACCCCTCATTTGCTCTGGGCTTATGTTTACAGTTTTGGACTTTGTCCATCACAAATCTGGCCATCTTACAGTATTGCCTGACAGTGCTTTCCGTTCGGGCGAAATATAAACGTTTAAGTACGGAGCTACGGCAAATAATGAAAGAATGCGAGGAATTGAGCTTAGTTACCCAGCGAAATGGTGTTTTCATGACCAGATGTTGCTATTTGTCGGATCGGTTGGAAGAAATGGCTCTACGCCAGGATCAACTGCAGTCAATTGTGGTCGAGTTAAATAAAACAATTGGGTCCCAGGGGGTACTGGTTTATAGCGGATACTACATATCAATGGTGTTCTGCTCGTACCTGACCTACAGTCTTATTAAAAATGGCAGGGAGTATTTCTGTTTGTCGCTTAAACATGTCATTCTGTCCTACGCTTGGAATTTTTTCTACTACTTCGACGCCTTGATCAACTTTTCTCTAATACTTTCCTTTTTGGATGATCACAAGGAGGTGATTCGTCTTTTGGAGAATAGAACATTGTTTGCTTCTCGATTGGACAGTCGCCTGGAAGAATCTGTGAGTAAAACCTATTTAAAGTTCTCTTATTAGCTTAAAATTCTTTGCAGCTTGAAAAGTTTCAACTGCAACTGATCCGAAACCCGTTGAAATTGACCATCATGAATTTGTTTCCCATCAGTCGAAATTGTACAGCTGCAATGTGTGGATCTATTGTGACGCATACAATAGTCCTCATTCAATACGACTTGGAAAACTTTTAAAAATGCAATGATGTAAAGCTTTAAAAACTTTGATTATTGCCATAGTTGTAAGATATTTGAATGAGTTTCATAAATAAACATAAATTACACATTTTTCAATTCCGTACATGCACATGGATAACAATATTTCCTTTAAAAATGTTACAGCACACAATTGTATTTGCCACAAATTGCCTTTGGCTAAAATAAAGTAAATTTAATTGGATTGTGATTTATATTTGAATAGGAACGACAATCAAATTATGTAATGCAAAAACAGAGAGAAAGGCGAATTGAATTTATTTTTTGGTCTTTAAATGCGAGATGAGCTAACCAGTCGGGATGCCAATGTCAGAAAAAGTTTGCCATTTTCATTGCCCTTTTTTGGATTTGTTTGTTTGAGCTTGAGCTGTGGCCAGCGCACATAAATTTCAATTAACATAAATTTAATGCCGGCACACAAAGTTGGGCCAACAAACTCGGCCAACACGCACACAGACGCACACACAAAAACACACAGACACCAAGCATTTTCAATTATTGTCTGGTGCAGAAAAGTTAGCTTTTCGATCCCTCTGCCCGCCAATAAAGTCTCCGCTTTTCACCCCTTCGAGTGCAGCTTTCCCGGATCTAATGCACTTGACTCTGAAGAGGTTAAGGGGGTACGGAGAGCTGCTTTAAGCCGCATATAGCAAATGGTCAGAGGCAAAGCAAATTGCTGAAAGGCGCTTATGCAAAGCGATCAAAATGCGAGGCGACATAAACACAGAGCGAAAGGAGAAAATCCAACCTCCAGGCAGTAAAACCAATTTGAAATTGTTATTTTAAGCGAAAGTAAATCGCAAAGAAAGGATTCTGTGTGTGGGAGTAGTCGTAAAAAATCAAATATCGGCTAAGTCTGCCGCTGCTTAAGATGGCATCAGCCATTTGTGGCCAGATAAGCCGGAAACGAGAAACTTTCCCTTTGTTTAGATATATGAAAATTGCCAAAACACATCTCAACACACCCCCGTGCTTTCGACCATAAAAATTCCAGGTAACGAAATGTATTTCCTGATGAAATCAGCACAAGATGAGGATGCGTGTGCGGGTTCTTGTTTTAAGGTTCGCATCTGAGAGTTGGGTCCGAGCTGCAAATCGTTGGAAGCCAATAAAAATGGCCAATATAATGAGCCCAAGAACTGCCTTCTCGATAAAATGTAAATTGGGAGAACTGATTTTATGGGTTGCCTACATTTTGGGGTCCACCTGGTGGGGTTTTAAGTAGAATTGGAAACAGGGCGGTCAGACTTTAAAGCCTTAAATTGCTGCCAAATGTTTGGGATTTTAAATTTGTTATCTAAATATCGGAAAGCACTTGATTTATTAAGTGTTTTTTATTCTGAATTAACATATATTTATATAAATAATATTTAACATTTAACTTCAACGAATACCCGAAGATTCTGTCGAAAAAGCTGACATGCCGCAATGACATTTCTATATTTTTATTCTGCTTCCGGACTTGCGTTGGTAACACGTAACTGCAATGACACGAAATCATTTCCATTTCCCCGAGCAAAATGGCTTTTAATGGGACAGACCGACGAGCATCTAAAGCCTGCTGTTGCCTGCATGCCAGAAGTGTAGAAATGCTGTCCAGATTCTATATAATTTACGGCGCCAGCAATGTCGAATGATGTGCCAGAAATTGCAGCCGGACCAAGGACGGGCCAACACAGATACCGATGGGGAAGCAGGAATTTATTATTTATTTTTATGAGTAATTTGTTCGTTGCCACGCATTTTTATGGCAATGCAAGAAAGATGATTGTAGCCGTGGCCGCCCCGTCTATGTTTGTTGGGAAAATCACTTGTCAAGAGCGGGACTCTCTATAAAAGGTAAAATGCCAAGGGAAATATGATAAAACAAAAATAAAAAAAAAAACAATTTTTCATGATTTATAATTATAAAAAATCTACTCATAATAATAGTAATTATAGGTTTCTGGTGATACTTTTGGATCTGTTGCATTAGGGAAATCTGAACAGTTTAATTTTTAAAATTTAAAACAAAAATGTAATGTTACGAAACCTCTTTTGTTGGTGCGCAACTGAAAAATGCGTAAAAATCAAAATGCCAAGGTGTACGAAGATTCGCTGGGAGATGAAACCAGAGTAAACAAAAGGCAATTACGTGACTCTGGAAAGGACAATGACGGTGGCAACTCATCCGACAAAGCTAAGGATAAGCTTGGCCAACAAACCCCACACCAAGGACAACAACAACAACAAGGACAGCAGCTGAAGTGGCACGTAATCTTCCAATGGGGCGTGGCCAATGGACAGTGGCAGACACTTTTATTGCAAATCATTTCAAATGCTGCAAATGCTAACAACAATACAAGACGACAACAACGAACGGCAACAAATAATGGCAGCCGGCGACATGGCATTGTGTGAATTGAGTTGCCCCCCCATATTTCCCTCGGTTGCCTCGAGTTGCATGGAAATCGATTCAAGGTGCAATCATCCTGTCTGTCTGACACCGATAATTCAACCTGATCGGGTAATGGATAAAGCATGCAGACAGCTGGGGAAAAGATTGGAGATGATTTGGGGAATCTTCACTGATTGAGGCATATTTCAACGATTTCGTATTGGAGTTCCACAATGGTTTTAAATCTTAAAGCCTTACTCAATGTTACTCCATTTAAGCAAATTGACTGTGCCGAATATCTTCCCAAAAACAATTAGACCAACCAGTCCACCCATTATACCTCTCCCCAGAACCCTTTCAGCCAAGAACACCAGCCAACAAAATGTCTCTCAAGCTCACAGTCCAAATGGCATATTCCTTCCAACTGAACGAGCCCAATTAAACTTTCGGGCATATCGGCATCAGTTTTTAACAGCTTTTCCTCTCCCACTTGAGTAACTCAACACCCCCGATTTGTATGAGCAGCTTAACTTATCATTGTGTGTGGGTGTGTGTGTGTGTGTGGGGGCGTGGGGGCAATCAAAAAGTTTACCTGTGCCGCAAATTGATGCCTTCTTATCTGTGCGAAATCAAACATGAAACTTTTAAGCCCCAGACAATTGGGCTTAATATGCTGAAAGTATCTTCCAGATACCAGGCGATGACATCCCGAACTACAGATTAAGTGGAGCTGGAATCATGGTATCCAAAGTAGGGAACTTTTCTGGGTCCTCTATTAGTGTTTTTGTACCAACAAAGAAAAATTCCTGGGAAATCCGGCTGTTGTTTTCATTAGGTGACAAATCTGATTTATGTGACATCTGATGGCGAAGATAGCAGGTGGGCCACGTCTTTCCTCGACTCATTTGCGGCTATTTGTCGGCTGGCCAATAAATCTGTGGAGTCATCCTCTGCTGTCCCTGCAGCCCAGCATCCCTGGCACTTATAATTTGTTTGGCTTTGTCCCCGGTATTTATCAAATGTTCTTATTTCGTTGGCAGCTTATTAGTGAAGTCCGACGAGAACGAAGCTAAGGTGTGACTTACGGATAAGCCGGCAGATATTTTCTATTTATTTTCCGGCTTTGTTGGTGGTGAGGAAAAGCGCTTGTCTGTGGGTTTGAGTTTTCGGTTTTGAGGGGGAATATAATATAAAATGCCAAATCTTCGACATTTAAAACTTGCTGAAATGCTTAAATCTTTTTCGCTAAAGTTTTATATTTTTCGTCCAGTGTTTTTTTCTTTTCAGCTCCCAACATAATTTGTTCTTTTCACTGCATTTTCACACCTTTTATAAACCATGTACGCATATCTCCACTCCACACTGCTACTTTTGTCCATTTTTTTGTTGATTTCTTTTTTCTGGTAACTGCTTCTTTTTTACTGCTAAATGTTTTGTGCCCTGCTCGCTCTCTGTCTCGATTACTTTTTTTATTTGTCGTCGAAGGTTGTTGTCACGTTCTGCGAGAACATTTTCACGTATTTGAAATATTTTCTTAAAATTACCCAATTTTCTTTGTGTTGCATCTAACAAAAATAAAAAGAATACAGAACAAGTATCTCCCTGCAACTGGACAGGTTAACTTGCCCTAGCTTTTCTATATAATTGAAGTTGGCTTAACGTCGGTGAACATAAATAAGAAGACAAATTTTTGGCGGAAGTAAGATAATTTTACTGTCAACAATAAAGTGTAAAAACATTACGTTCTTAACCATTCTTTAAGACACAAAGAAAAGAAAACAGCTTGTTGATTTTGAAACAAATATGTTTTATTAATGAATTTCCGCTCTTTTACTTCACAATTCTTCGTTTCTTTTTGGATCGCCTGCGAATAAGGTTCGCACATTGAATGAGGCTTAAAGATATTTACAGAGACTTCTCCTCTTCGTCTGGCATTTAAATTCTGTTGAAGTTACTTTATGGCATTTGATTTGAGTTGAGTTGTAAATAATTCCTATTTTCTTAGGTTTGAATTGTTTACGGTTTCACATAAAGTTTATCGTATAGATTCGAATGCATTTCGCTTTTTATTTGCTTGCCATTTTATACATCTAAAAGTTGTTATTTAAATACACAAATAATTTACACTTACAATTACCACACATTCATGTTTTGTTTTTCGAATTAACTTTAATGCAATTTATAGTTTTTTTTTAGTACTTTTGCATTGTTTTATGTTTTTGTATTTAGTAATTTTCCTGTTAATTGCAGTTAATGGCATCGATATTAAATAAGACTTAAAAAACAGTTACAGTTGACAACAATGCAGATTTATATATGTGTGTGTGTTTAAATTTATACTATATCTATGCTTAAATTCCCATTCGCACACGCAATCACCCTGTCACGCGTTCACAATTGTACTCAATTAGCATTTGAATGTCCGCTCATCGATATTTAAATGTATAATTAATATTTTTTTCTTTGTTTTTCGCTTAATGGTAAAATTGGCTCTGGCTTTTTGTTTTGTTTATGTGATTTTTGTTTTACTGCTACTGCCATCTTAACTTTAATTTAGTTAGCTCATTTATCATATATACACACAGAAATTATGGACACCAATGGGAAAAACAGAATGGAATTCATGGACAAAACGTCGTTCTATTTACACAATAAAATCCATTTCATTTGATTTGATTTTGTTTCATTCCACTTAATTTCATATCTGAATTGAGTTCAACTTTGTTTTTAAGGCTTCGTCACAATCATTTAGCTATTGTTAAAATTTGTTTGCATTATTTATCCTCTTTTGACTTTTGCTATTTGTTTTAACAATTTGCTAACTAAACGGTTTACATTTCCTTCTGGATGATGGCTAATTCGAACCCGGAATGTTATTTGTTTTTAAGGATGGATCAAACACACACAGAAGCACGCACTCGCTTTTATTTAATACCCATTAAGACTTTGGCAATTCATATAAATGTACGATATGTTTTTGTTAGTTTTAAGACTTTTCCAACAGTCACCAAGTTGTAATTTCTAGCTTTGATTAGTTTTTCTCTCTTTCCATTTCATTTTTTTTTTTTTTGTTTAATTTTAAATTAAGTGCTTTTTGGTTTGCTTTTAATGTGAATTCTTATCCTTAGCATTATTCAAGATTACCTAATTACAATTTCACATTATTAAATGCATGCTCAACGAACAACGAAAGTTTATAGATAAATCATAGTAGATTAAAATCAACTACAATCATCATTTGAAGTTATTTGAGATGAATTTGTGTATTAGCTTTGCAGTGCATAACAAAAGTATTTATAGGTCAAACCAACTTTATATAGGCCAGACAAGGAAGTAGAAATAATTTGGTAAGTATCCAAAAAATTTAAATTGATTTGATGCACTTTCCTTATACTGTGGATATAGTTCAGACATACACGTATATCAATTGGTATTAAAATATTTAGAGGTTCATACTTTCGCTACGCACTGTACACACCTCACCTATTTAAGCATGTATATTTGCTTAACATTTTTTTAACTTTACTCGGCTAGCACAAACTTAGAAGTACTGTTTCTATTATATTTATCCATATTTCTTTCTGTTAAACTCGTATTTTGCATTGACCAACTCTTGTTGTTTTTCATGGTTTTTTCTTTATTTCGTTTTTGTGATATTTAAATTCTGTTTCTTTTTTGTGTGTGAGTGAGCTTAACAATTAATAACATACAATACAGTTACATAAATATATATATATATTAAACATTAACTATTTACAGTTGCTTTTTTATTTTGACACGGGACTTAACATTTCCGTAGAGAGCTAAAACATTTGCTTTCTCACATCTTTCACAATTTTTCTCGATTTCACACAATTAAATTTTAGTATTTGTAATTTATGCTCTAGATAGTTTATGATTTTTGTTAAAAATTAAATTTATGAAAGCTTTTGTTAACGACATAAATAAATTGGCTGCATTCTATTCGTTTTGCTTGATTTACATTTTCTTTTATTAATTGTTTCCTGTTTTTGATTTTTTGTGAGTTTCTTTGTTTGTAATTCTATGCGAAGCGAAGACGGAAAAATCGGTGAAAAGTGTGTGTGTTTGTGGAGGGAAAACGCCGTTCTATGGCTTAATGGAGCTACCGTACAGCAATGGAGCTTTTTGCCAGCTGCGTCGCGGATTCTCCGTTTCTCGTCCTGCAAATTTCCTCCTCGCGGTCGGCCAGCAACTCACTCGCCTGCGGAGTTCCTTTCGCCATTCCTTCAGTGGCGGTCCTCGGATCCATCGATATCTTATCTATATCTACTTCTGTTGCGATCCCTTCCGCCAGGGTTGCCACCACCACCGCCAGCGCCACCAGCAGAAGGACGAAGGGCGCGGATGTTGAAGGAGGCGGGGCCGTGGAACTGGCTGCGTTTGGATGGACGAACAAGAGCGATAAGATTTTGGTCACAAATAATTCCCGGTAAGACGTACCTTGGACGGGATCGGCGCGCGAGTTGCTGGCGTAGACCGTTTCCCTTGACTCGAGCACGGGCGCCTTTTGCGGCCGGTCGCCCTCCACGGACTCCTCGTTGCTCCTCCAGTACAAGGACGACAACTCGGCTATGCACTGCAATATCCAAACGATTTCGGTTAGCTAACTGTGCGAGCGGAATACTATCGAGTTTCAGCGGGTCGAAGTTGGCCAAAAACAATTTCAAGGTCTGACTTAAAACCCTACAAGCACTCTGATTATTCATATCCAATTAACATGAAGCTTATAGCTTATATATTCATAACAAAGTAAAATAAAATTTAACTGTAACAAGAAAATATATTTGCAAAACAAAAATAGATACAAAAATATTTTTATTGAAATTAATAAAACTTTGTACATATTCAGTTGAGTTTTTATAATAAGAACTATTTAAGGTTGTTTTTGAAATTGTTTTAAGCCAAAGAAGTTCGACGGTGAAATGTACTTTGCACTCACCTTAAGTTTCATGTCACCGTTGCGGAAGTGTTTCTGCTCCACCCGGAATTGCAGTCCCAGCACAGAGGTCTCAAGACCTTCCCGTCCCGATACAATATTGTCATATTTGCGGAGTTTCTGCAGGTCAACGGGCTCTCCATTCACTTGCCAAGATAGTTTTACGGCGGGCTTGGAGCGTCCAGCGGTACAGTTCACTCGAACATAGTCTCCGATTTGGTAACGCGGACGTCCGCCTATGATTTTTGGTGGTCCTTGGTCCGGAAGAGCTAGAAGTCAAATGGAAATAAGTGAAAAAAACATCAGTTTTAAGGCTGACAACGAAATCGGACCAGAGAAAATTTTATTTACAGCCGCAGACATTTGGCGGTGACTGTGGAGGGCGAGAGACTGTAACTGAATTTTGCAATAAACCTAATCCACCACAAAAACAACAAGGAAGAAGCCACCGCTCCAAAGGGACAACAAACTCAACGGAGCGCAACCGGAAATTCAATAAAAGTTCCAGCCGCTGATGCACTGTCGGACTTGGGATAAAATTGCAAATTGCTAAATATAAAAAAATAGTATACAAATAGAATAACTCAATAAAAACTGTCTAGAACTGAAGTGTCAACACCCTGAAAAAAAAGCTGTAAGGTGGATTAAAATTAGTTTTCCTTAGAATTAAAGAAAAAACCCTTCAAAAAAATTGTATAACAGTTAAATAAAAAATCTACAGTTTTTAAGTAGATTATGTTTGGTAAGCACTTTAAGGAAATTAAGGAAATTAAATCTTGTACATTTTTATCCGAATGTTCTTGTTAAACTCAAACACCACGGAGACTCTAGCCCAAAACAAATCTAAGTCTGACCGACCATTTAAAATGGGCATAACGAGGGATCGCTAGGAATCTCTCTGGATATCTGGGCTCTGGAAGCGGAAACGGAAATGGTTTCGACTGGCTGTTGCTGGTAGCTTGGCTGTTGTTGTTTGCCAAAGGGACCCCGAAAAATAGCATCTGTGGGTGAATTCCAAAGTGGGTGGACGGTGGGCGGTGAGTTGCGAGCCGTGGGCCGTGGCATATGCCCGGCTCGTTCTGCTGCCGAAGCTTTTAAAAACTTTGATTGAAAGCCAAACAGAACCAGTCGGGACGGGACCGCAGTATGAGCAGCAACAAAACAACCGAAAGCCAGAAAACAAAAGCACAACAAAAGCCCCCGGTTAGAACAAAGACACAGTCCACGTTAAACAATAACAGGGAGACAGCCATGGAGAATGGAGGTCGGTGGGCGGTGGGCGGTTGGGCGTAAGAGGGCGTGTTGGCACGCCCACGCAAAAGTTTTATAATTGAACAAACGAAATGTCAACGCCAGTTCAAAGCGCACCCGCTCCACGTGTAGTTGTAAGTGGGGGCAGAGCGAATGTGTGCTGCACTGCTCGAAATTATTTTAAATATTTAGAGTTTAAAAAAAAGTATATCTCTTTAACCTTAAAATTATTTTTCAATCCTTAACTTATAATTTATTTGCGTTACAATCATTATACAAATACAAATATTTTGAAACTTGAAAAAGTATAATAATATTCTATTATACCGATTAATTGTTCACTGTGCAGAAAAAAGGGTGAGTGGATTATAACTTGCACTTTAAAGTACTCCTCCATTAGTTGTTGATGTGTTTCAGTTTTGCGGAGGCGTCTTTAGTAAATTTTTGGCATTGCCCCGAAGAAAATTTGGCCAAGACAAGAGCCCATGGACAGACAACTTCCAAAATTGAGTTAAACTGTTAAGCTTTGGCAAGTTTGGCCCGGGGTGAAAATGTAAGTCCGGAGGAAGTTCAGTAAGCTTATTTGGCATTAGAAGCATGAAATCAAATGAAGCCTGTCAAATGCACTGCAAATGCTTTTTGACTAAGTAAACACGATTCCGATAGAATAAAGCTGATTGGGTCGGGCTGCTGGAATCAGGTGAACAGACTACAGTTCGTGGCGAAAATAAATGAACGCGGCCAAGGCCAAGCTCAAGTCAGCGAAATCCTTTGGGTGGCGATTAACGGGGTTAGTGTGTTTACCTGATTAGTTTCTTTGCTTAAAAGAGAACTTTCTCTAAGATTTAACGGCCAATGTGTCAAATGAAGCGAGAAGTTTTCAACTGCGATTTCGTGTAATCCAATTTGTGCAGCTCAGTTTATAAATTAAAGTTTTCCTTTCATGATTTCAATCAACAGTAACCTAACAGGTCGGATGAAAAGTCCCCGGTTTACCATAGTAAAAAATTTTTTTTTTGCAAAATTCAATTTTATTATTCAACATAGTTGCCTTCGAGGGCGATACAGCGATTATAGCGATTTTCCAACTTTTCGATGCCACTTTTGTAGTACTCTTTCGGTTTATCCTCAAAATAGGCCTCAGTTTCAGCAATCACTTCATCATCGGTCTTAAATTTCTTGCCAGCGAGCATTCTTTTAAGGTCCGCAAACAGGAAATAGTCGCTGGGGGCCAGATCTGGAGAATACGGTGGATGAGGAAGCAATTCGTAGCCCAATTCATAAATTTTAGCCATCGTTTTTCCAGACTTGTGACATGGTGCATTGTCTTGGTGGAACAGCACTTTTTCCCTCTTCAAATGCGGCCGTTTCTTTGCGATTTCGGCTTTCAACCGCTCCAATAAAGCAATGTAATAGTCGCTGTTGATTGTCTGTCCCTTCTGGAGATAGTCGATGAATATTATTCCATGCGCATCCCAAAAAACAGACGCCATAACCTTTCCAGCCGACTGTTGCGTTTTTCCACGCTTTGGATTGGGTTCGTCGCTTGCTGTCCATTCAGATGATTGACGATTGGACTCTGGAGTGTAGTGATGGAGCCATGTTTCATCCATTGTCACATATCGACGGAAAAATTCGGCTTTATTGCGCTTAAACATCTCCAAACACTGCTCCGAATCATCAACTCGTTGTTGTTTTTGATCGATTGTGAGCTCGCGCGGCACCCACTTTGCACAGAGCTTTCGCATGCCCAAATATTCGCGAATGATATGATGTACACGTTCCTTTGATATCTTTACAATGTCTGCTATCTCGTTCAAATTCATTTTACGGTCATTCAAAATCATTCTATGGATTTTTTTGATGTTTTCGTCGGTAACAGCCTCTTTTGGGCGTCCACTGCGTTCACCGTCTTCAGTGCTCATTTCACCACGTTTAAACTTAGCATACCAATCAATGATGGTTGATTTTCCTGGTGCAGACCCCGGAAACTCTTTATCAAGCCACACTTTGGCTTCAACTGTATTTTTTCCTTTCAAAAAACAATACTTTATTAACACACGAAATTCTTTTTTTTCCATCTTTTCAACAATAACAAAAGTAGCTTCACTCAAATCGATATAACTCCCGAACTAATTGTCCGATTGCTGTCAAATTTTGACACGTATCGTTTGAAGGTTGGTACTGAATGAAAATCATATGGAAAAAAATCTAGTAAAATCTAGTATGGGTCAGACCGGGGACTTTTCATCCGGCCTGTTACTCTACGCTTTTTAATTACTTTTCTTTTGCCGGATTAACCTTGGATTGACCCTTGCTTCTAAAGTTTTTCCAACTTCCTTCAATTTTATAGGATTTTCAAAACTAAATTTTTTTGTAAGCTTGAATCTACTAAGAACTTAATTTAGTTTTGCTTTAATTTAATTTAAAAATTAATTCACATTTTTTCACAGTCAGAAAATAAAAAAGCTAACAATGCGTGCAGCACATTTATGAAAATCCGGGAAACCAAATGTTAATTTGTATTTATAGGGTTAAACCATCACCCGGCAACCCAAGACAAGTTTCAGGAGTGGAAGTCAAAGTCAGCGTCAGTTACCCACCGACACCGACACCACCCCCTTTCCCCCCTCTCTTAGCCACAGCATCTGGGCCAACAGCAGTCAACGCCAAATGGCCGCAATTTCTAATTAGAGTTATAAGTTTTCGCCCGACTCCCAGTTGGCTATATACATATAGAAGCCGTGGTTGTGGGGTTTGTGGAGTTGGCGATGTATATGTATGTATGCTACTTACACACAACAATCATGTCGCCGTGCTCGGTGACCGTTTGAAAGGAGGGCGCCTCGCCAGAAACCTCGCACCGGAAGCGGCCCGCCGACTGCAGATTGACGTTCCGCAGCGTAACAATCGCGTCGCTCGAGTTGTGCAGCTGCAATTAAAAACGAGAGGGAAAATAACGGTTAAAATGGGGGAAATATCGGATGAGAAATTGTTTTCGGGGGTCGAAGAAATAAGTGCCCTATCCTGAGCATAAAAACAATGAACGTCCTTAGAAAAGTATACAAGCAAATATTAAAAGATTTTTGTTTTAAAAAATCAAGCATATGAATTCCAAAAAAAATAGGAAAAAAGGAAATTAAAACTAAAAACTTAGGTCTGAATCGCATTAGCTAAAATACTTTAAGGACAATTTTCCCAACCCAGAATTAAATACAAATAATTGCTGGGACGTTTTCCTAATAAAATAAAAATACCTTTAATTAGGGTACAAAAGGAAAGACTTTGTTGAGTCCGAGCGAAATTGTTGAATGATGGCGACGCAGGAGATGGCTGGTTAAAATTAATGTAACGAAAAGTGGGCAAAAAGTTGCAGTGCCCCGAACAAACCCCCTTTTGCTGTAACTCTTGGCGTTGTCATTGGCAGTTTCAATACCATCAGCCAGGGGCGTTGGCAGCGGGGATCGAGGGGATTGAGGGGAATGAGCTCCTGCAGCCACTTTGGACGTTAATGTAACGTAATTGCTTTTGAAAACTGCCGCAGCTTCGCTTGTTTTTCAAGCTGTCCTCCTTTTTCTTGCCCTTCTTGTTTTCGCATTTTTTTGTTTTGTTTTCCGTAAATGCCTTTTAAATGTCCGAGATGTCCAACGCCTCCTGCTCCTTGAAAGAGCCCCTCGAAGGGTCAGCGAAAAAGGGTTAGGCAAATATTTCACTTGAACTTTAAGCCATTAAATCCGAGTCTAAATGGGGCCGGGGATTTGGGGAGGGTTAAGGAGATCAGATGCCTGTTGTTTAACCCTCGGAATCCCCACACCACCCACACTTTGTTATCTGGCCAAGCAGAAAAGTGCACTTTGTTATCTTTTATTGCGCATTCTTTGCCGGCTCAGCCCCTCTCCTTGTTGTTTTAACCTAATTTATAGTTTACCACACAAACACACGGACATCGGAGGGAGTTGGGCCCAGGTAAACCGCACGTCTAAGTCCTGAGTTGGCTGAAGTTACAGCCAACTATTGGCCAACTGCAATAAAACAAGCCAAAACAGCAACAGCACCCTCTTTCCCACACACATATATCTCCCCGCCGCAGTCACTCAAATCGATTATGCTAAAACAATATCCAGCAAATGGAGCCGGCACACACTCGCAATTGGTTATCGCTAACTGGCATCTCCTGTAACTCCCATCGTACTCCTCCTCATGCCCAACATCAAAAAGTTTTCCGCCAAGCAGCGAAAAGAACAGCGCACAGTGGGCTATGAAAGTAAATTAAGTACTTAAAATCGGTGTGTTTTTCAAAGGAAGTTACGAGCTACAGTGAAAAGTTACATAAAGCTATTATGTTCTTAAACGCTTTTTGTCTCAACATGATTATAATACATTGATAATTTTTTCTATTGCGAGACATTGCGATAAAAACCACAATAAATTCCACTTAATAAGTTTTTTGCTTTTGCTATTTGTATATTTTATGTAATCCAATGAATAACAGTTAACGGATTAGCTTTTATTATATCTCCCTTTGAATTTTCAAGTGTAAATCTCATTATCTATCATTCATTTTTTTACCCCACTGTACTCCCGAGCGGAAATCGTTTAGCGGTAACGTGGAGCGTGGATCGTCGAGTGAGGAATCCACTGCGGCAAGGGTAACGCGTTTTATGGACACTCCGTCGACCACGCCCACTACCGCCAGCAAACGCAAAAGCGCAACTTGAAATATTTATTGCACTTAACGAGCGACAGAGACGGACTGAGTTCGAGCGAAATGCATGCATGGGAGAGCAGATTTCACTTTTTCGGTAGCCGATTAGAGGAAAATTCGGGGAAATGGGGAAGTACTGGGGAAGGAAAAGCGAGCGTGGCATGTCGAATGTAACCATCAACTGACTGCGATTGTCTGCTCACGTGCTTATCTGGAACTGGTTTTCCACTTGCCCCTTTTCCCACTCACCCACAGCATTCCTTTTTCCGCTTTTCCAGCGGTTTGGGGGTTTCGGTGGGTTAACGTCTAGTGCATTGTTACGTGCCAAAGTTTTGGTGGCTAAAATAATGGAGCCACGCCAGAAGAAGTGCCCTACACTCATTCTATTTTTGCGGCCGATTAAGCAGTTCGATCTGCGAATGTTTTATCTTTCTTGGCATATGTTTGACATGCCATCTGTATCTGCTCTTAAAACTCTTAACTTGGCTTGAAGCGTTTTAGGGAGTAAAATAAGACTGAGAGAAACTAAGCCAAAGCGATTTTCTAGCTTAATATCTGAAAACTTTGATGGGTTTCATGAAGTGTATACCTGGGTTATGTGTTGTGTGTTTAGTTAAGAATTTCGACCACAAAAAAAAAGTAAGAAGCGGTACGCAGATACCTGAAGATGAAGTTTTGGCATTGAAAAGTTTTAAAACTAGTATCTTGTGTTCTACGGAAAATAACTGAGCTCCAGGCAGTTTTAAAGACACTGTTGACTTTTAAGTTCTTCACCATTATTACTCTGTTCTTTTCAAAAATGTTGTAAATTCCTGAAAAATTAACTGGATTAATTATATACCAGTTTTTTTTTTTTAATTTAACCCCCTTAGATATTCCAAAGTCTTTCCACTTCACTTAAGGAACTCATTTAGAGTAAGTTTTGTTTTTAAGATCCCAGATTAAGGAAAAGTTTTTGCGTTGCTAACCAAACTTTAAACTAAGAGGACCCGAAGCTTTGGCTAGAACTTCTTTTGTGTTTTAGTTCATGTCTCGCAGTCTCCACTCAAAAGATATCCCATTGTATACGAAGACAAGGACTCACCTATCCTTGCCCCTGCCTTTGCTTCCTCTCGTAAAACCACCTTTACCCCAGCACAAAACAACTCGACTTTCTTCCCAACATACACGCAAGTCATAAAAGAATGGGGAGGCATAATAATGGGAGGTGTACACTGTACAAATTAACTGTTATGATTCAAAACCAAATGATCTGATAATTAATAACGCAAAGGGTAGATATTAATTTTCTTTAAGCTTACGAAATATATTTATAATGAGCCTAAATCGTGTGTAAATTGCTTTTGTTAATGTGTAAGTACTAGTTGTTCGAAAAAGGTTTCTTTCTGTGCAGTTATAAAAAGACCTAAAGAGAGTAAGCTGGCGCAATGCATTGTTGTTTCGGCTGGCACCACAAAAGTACGCAACGTTGTTTTCAATGTTTAGTTTTAGTGCGACGCCAACACCAGCGTAAACTTTGCTTTGTTCTTATGCTCGGCTATAAGGGGATATATGCGGTACTCACATCGACGTTAACGCCGGGCAGCAGGAAGGTCTGGGCCGGCGGCATGTCCCGCGGCACATAGCGGTAGAACTCGTTGCCGTCCTTATACCATTTCACCGAGTAGAGGGCCTCCCCGTCCAGATCGTACAGACACTCCAACTGCGCCGCGGAGCCCTTCATCACGTGCATCGGAATGCGAACCTCGGTCAGTTTTAGCCCAGCTACGCTGTAATCTGCAAGAAAATTAACGAAAGAAAGGTAAACCGATTAAAGCGAAGCTTAACCAAAGAATTTTTCAAGTTTAAGATGTATTGGTATTAGGAACAAGTTTTGTTAGTAATTTGTTTTAGACTCATTATATCCTTGGAGAAGACATTTTAATTTCAGTCAGAAGTTCAACTTTTATGACACAACGTTATTGAAGTGTAAAATCTTTGGTATACCAGTTTAATTTATATGCACTCACTCATTCTCTTTTAGTTCGAGTACCAGTCACTTTGATCATTTTTGATCACATGAAAGTTGTATGACTCAATTAAATATTAATGCCCTCTGGGAAAGTAAATCAAATAAAATTGTACGGATAATCTGGTAAGCGAACAAATCGAAAAATGTAAACCTTTTAATTTTTCGCTTTGTTTTGTTTTTGCAGGTGCTTAAAAGCCGTAATTGAAGGTGGGTGGTCAGATGGTGGCGCCTGATTGATTTATGTAACTGGAAATTTTTAATTAATTACCAAAGTTTATTTTCACTAAAGCCAGTGTCAACCGAACGATGGACTCGGCCCAAACCCTTCAATGCATAATGTATTCTTTTTATAATTTATAAAAAACATTTTACCACGCTCAGCAACTCTTTTCGTTTAACATGTTAAAGTGCTGGTGTGGTTATGTGTTTTATACTTTATTATATAGATTAATAAGTCAATTCCGTTGACAGGAAATGTTGTTTTGCTTTGGCAACATGATTGAGGGTATTCGATTCATATATTAAGTTGGCCGGGGTGGACAACTTCTGGTGCTCAATGTGGCTTTGCCCACTTGGCCCGACTCGTCTCGAGTCTTGTAACATTTTATGGCAAACTTGTTTATTGTCAATATTGACAATGATACAAGCTCACACACTGAGGGCGGGCCAGGAATTTAGTGGAGGGATATGGGGGCCATACACACTTACGCCCACCCACTCTTTTCGGCGTGTCCCACATTATTACACCGCCCGAGGATGAATGCTCTCTTGGCTTTTCCAGACCAGTGTTCTCGTCTGCCTCTGCCACCAATCGTTGCACATTACAAGTGTAATAAAATGTGAGAGGATATTATTGTTCACACAGGCAGGGAAAAGGCAGGACACACACAGGCTCATATCAATCTCTATGGCTACAAATGTATCTATATCCTTATCTTTATCCATATCCTTCGCTATGACTTGCAATTGTTGTCGCTCCAGCTGAGTTAACTTGAGTTGAGTGCAATGTCATGTCCAGTCGGAGGCAGAATATTTTGTGGACCAAAATATCTCATCATACTTTTGACAACACGTGCTTCAGAGATTTTCAATTTCATTATGGATAAGCTATTTGAAGTGATTGAATTGCTGTAAAATGGCAAACAAAATGTCAGAAGGTTAAAGGTCAGCAAAAAAACGTCTGTAGGAAATCAATTATTGATTGAAATGTATAAAAAGAGGGGGAGGTTTACAGGAAGAACAAGATAAAAAATGCCCGCCTTCACATTTTCCTTAAATTTTCAATACTTAATTAAATCATAAATATCCCAAATAAAATAATAGGAAGTAATGATTTTGTGTACCATTTCCATTTCTTTGTATTAAAGAGATTAGGATCAAAAACTAATTGAGTTTTAAATGGATAGCAATTAAAAATAATAAAATGAATTTTAATTTAAGTTGAAGTTTGCAAGTGGGTTTAAAACAAGACAAAAGGATTACACGTGTAAGAAGGCTTAAACTAAGTCCAGAAACAAATACCAAAATCAAGATTGCCAATAACACAAGTTGCTTATGTGCCACAATATTCAAACGTATGTATATCTGTATATACATATACAGATACTTATATAAATATATCCTTGTTTCCACGGAGAGGCACATACAAACACCCACAGGTGAGAGAGTTAGAAGTACTTTAAGCAGCCACTTGCAGCAAGTACCTTGCCACAATTTGCAGGTAAAGTTGCAACAAATGACAGTCAGCTGGGGAAGAGAAGCCGAGGCAAGGCTGTGGAAGAAGAAATGGGGAACTAAGCGACATTAATGAGACTGCATGGGTGAAGTTTTCGGTAGAGATTCTCCCCACAAGCAGCATGTCCTCTATGCGAAATGAACTCCTTTGGCGCACTGGCTGGCTGGCCAGCATCCAGAACAAAGAAAAATGTGCACGAGAATACGTAGGTAAAATAAATACAGAAAAACGGAAAACAAACAGAAAAACTTTCATTTTATTTGGTTTTCCAGTGAATTTAGGTTACTGGCTCCCCTCCTTCGTGTGCCGCTCTCATTAATTCTGCTTAAGAGTCGAACTGCAAATGGAACTGTGACGCAAGAGCAGTAGCATAGCCAACTAAAATTTATTACAGTAACGCTCTGATACACAAGAATTACTAATTATGGTATATGACTAAACTAGTCCCAGCGCAACTTCAAAATATGTTTATTTACTGGAGTAATTTTGATCTTACAGAAGTTATTGCTGATAACCTTATTAAGGCATAAGGATAAGTAATTTTGAACTTACAGAAGTTATTGCTAATAACCTTATTAAGGCATAAGGATAAGATATTAAGGCAAGGGTCCAAGAAAAGACACTTGGGTATCCCTCAAAAAATTATATTTTTATGCGAAGCTCTACTGTAACCGTCAGTTGGAGCATCTGAGCAGCTGAAGCATCAATAGAGGCAGCAGCAGTTTCACCGAAAGTTTCGCTTTTGGGTAACTTTGTCATTTGGGCGCCTTGACACACTCACAAACACACTTAATATACGTTCACATACACACACACCAATACCCGCAGCGTACATGCAGAATGTCAACAGGGCACACAATAGCTGTTCTTGTATCCTTTGGCTCTTGCCGAAGTTGAGGTTCGGGTTTGAGTGGAATTAATATGCTCAGGCTGCGACCTTTGCCAAGTCAAAAATCAATTTTCCCATCACACACACTTTGCAAAAAAAGTGTATCCACGCTAATTTGATAAAAATTATATCGATTGCAAAATGCTTCCCATAAAAAAACTTCCAGCGAAAAATATCTGTAAGAGATAATCTGTTTATCATTGAAAGTACCGATTTATAATATTATGTTTGTCCATAAAATGGGGTCTTTATTATTTTCTCTGCATCTGCTTTGAGAAAAGTGAATTTCGTTTTTTCTTCTGCTGCCACTTTTTTTCTGTCAACTTTTTTGGTGGGCGACAAAAGTTTTCTTTCATACTTCATTGGGGTTAAGTGATTAAATTTGCAAAGGACACAAAAATACCCAGAAATATTCGCCAAAGAAGTAACTAAAAGAGGGTGCGTAATGCGGAGTGGGAAAAAGACTAAGCGTAGTAAAAGTAAAACAAACTTTTGCCCATATGACACAAAAAAATATGCGGGATCTACCTCCTGTATGATCTCATTTCCTCTTTTACAGAATGCTGCACGTGCATAATTGCTTACAGGAAACTTTTGGTTGAAAATGGTTTTACTCAAGGCGTTTCAAGACTTTATGTCCGCCCTTTGCTTAAAGCAAGTTTAGTAGACAAGTTTTATCTAAATAACGAAATATTAAACAAGCTCATAGGTTGAACTACCCTTGTTGTTAAAGCTAAATTTGTTTAATACTTAAAAAAACATTTTTTTATAATAAATTAATAAATATATATCCTTTTTCTTGTAAACAACAATTTTGTTTATAAACTATATGAACTTTTATTTAAAATGTATCCATTAAACCATTTCATAAATTATATTTTAAATTTTAAATAATAGAGTGTTAAATTTTACAGCAACAATAGATAACCTCTCCCACTGTGCCTGTTAATAGGCGACAAATCATGTTCGATTCCGTTTCGCCTCCGGGGATTCCCTCAAAAATGTCCCTATCTCAACTGTTGCTGCAGCGCCCCCAGGCGGTGCTTGTTTAAGCTGTCATCGGTTTTGGAGGTCCTGAATTTTCCTGACGGCTGATGGGCGAGGGAGGAATGTATGTTGCTTGGGGCAGGTCGCTGTATCGTTACTCTATTGCCGGACATCTTTAATCTTTGGCAAAAAGTTAGCCTCGTTAGGGAGTTGGCTTTTTTCTAAGGCCCAGCCGATTTTTTCCTCCCAGTTTTGCTGCCATTTCCAGGCCCCTAGGATTCCCTACTATCTTCTCTTTTTTTTGGATCCTCGGGGCCGGTTCAGGCTTAATATCCGCTGCCAGCGCCATTGTTGTTGCTGGTCGTCTTTGGTTTATTAGTAGTTCGTGCCAGGACACCAAGGATACCAGGATACGAGGGCAGTAGATGAAAGGAGCCGGCAGCCGAAGCTGTTTGCCTATGTAAATGTCTGCACATGAGCCCGGACTGTGGACCATCCGCATCCGCATTTCCATGCCCCTATTCCCCATTCCCCGTTCCCCATCCTGCGACCTATCCTCTGGCAACCAGGACAAACAATGGCAGTGCGTGTGCATGGTCCTGGCTTGACTCCTCCGTTTTTCCGACTGCGGCCAGTGCCCGAGGTAGCAATATTTGCTTTCTCCGCTCTCATCATTTGCATATAATGGCTCTGTAAAAGTTCATAAGGATCTGGCAGGATACGGCAGTCGGGGATGCGGGGCTATGCCTGCAATTCGATTGCGGAATTTAATAAAAACCCTTGCAGGCTATGCATTCCCTCGGATTGAAAAATACTACAGTCGAAGCTCTGCTAGAGTGAAAATATTTGTTGGATTTGCTATGGATTCGAATTCAATGAAGCAAACTTTTTATTTTGCTTAAAATTTTTATTAAGCATTTTGGACAACCAAAATACTCTTTACACATCCTTTTTTAAACAATATTTAGAAGAAACACACTAAAAACCTAGCTAATGTTAATTTATTTGGGATTAATTCTTATTAACGTAAGGTTCTAATCCCTGCGTTTCAATTTATGTTACCTATAAAACTTACCATTTCAGGAGTGTTTCTAGAACCCTGAAACGAGTACTCCGCATACTTGTTCTAAGCTAAATAAGCCGAAACAGAAATA